TTTCATTTCTAGGCAGGATGATCATTCACTTAATTTTATTGTCTACTAGTTCTCATGATCTTCAGAGTCAAAATCACACATATGATTGTAATCTACAACATGAAAGCTATGTATTGGTCGAGTTTCCTCAATTTTTAAGTAAATATTCGCATTTATCAAGCATATGAGAAAATAGGATGATACATACAAGGCTACTCAAAAGTCTAATTTTATCTTAGTATTTCACCAATAGAAATCTACCCATATGCTTTAAATATCATAGTCAATTCTTGTATTTAATTATGAATTAGTTAAATTCATATACATATTGAAATAGCAATTATCCTCCTATGCAATTAATGCCGTATTTTGAGAAAAAGTTCAATGCATATGATTTCAAATGCTTTTCTCCCTAGGGGAAGAGTTTACATTCTCTTATTAAGTTCTTTTTACATCCACTTATTCATATAATCCATAAATTCAATATTACACCAATAATTGTAATTTATAACATAAGATTTATATTGTTGATTAATTTTCATGATAATTTAACCATTCATCAAGCATATCAAAAACTTAAGGATGTATTGGAGTTATCTAATAGCCTTTTAAAAATCTAGTTTTCCCTATTGTATTTCACCAATCAAAACCATTCAATACATGTAAAAGATCATGAACAAACCATGCATTTGATTCCAAGCCATTTAAACTCTCAACAATTTAAAATCATAATTATTTTCTCATGCAATTAGAGACATTTATTCTGAAATTTCTTTTGCATTTTATAGATGCCAATTGATCTTAATTTTGAGTGAAAGAATATTAGATGAATTTCGTCGTTTGAGGTTGGAGAAATTTTCTAATTTGAAGCTATATTTCCACATCTTCTTCAAAGTTCTCAACAGAATCATTATCATCATACTCAATATGATATTTTTCAATAAATTGGGACTTGAAGCCTCTTTTTGTGTACTTTTCAGAATCAGTACAATTTATTGGAGTTTTCTCCTCATAGTCATTGGAATCTGGGCAACATGCTTCCTTTGAAGGTGACTAAGGGTGTGCATTATTTGGATAAAGTTAAAAATTTGAAATGATATTGTTTGGTGTGTCTGGTTCAATTTGTTAAAGCAACAGTTCAATTACTAGTTGTAATTTTGACTCTCTTTGATTTTTGGTTATTAATTTCAATTTTATTTTTTAAAATCATTCAAAGAAAAAAACTAAATTATAGTAATTTCTTCAAATGTTGAAGTTAATAAAAATCCATGAATTGTAAATAAGCAATCAATAGAAAGATCAATGTGGATAGTTATTCTTCATGTTAAAATAATAAATTGTTGGCCTTTAAAAGAGAAGCATAATACTAAGTTAAGTGTGACCGAGATGAGGTTGTTCAGGTGGATGAGCGGCTTTACCATTAGAGATAGGATACGAAATGTGCATATACGTGAAAAGGTTGGAGTAGCTCCAGTAGAAGATAAGATTAGAGAGAGTCGTCTTAGATGGTTTGGTCACATAAAACAGCGGCCTTCCGATGACCCGGTTAGGAGAGTAGATGTATTAGATTGACTTATGTTAAGAAAGGTAGAGGTAGACCTAAAAAAACTTGGTTAGAAAATATTAGGAATGACCTTTCTTTATTAGATTTAAACGAGAATTTGACTTTTAATATGACACAATGGAGAAAAAGGATTCATGTAGTCGACCCCACGTAGTGGGATAACGGCTTGATGTTGTTGTTGTTGTAATGTGTGTTATTAGATTATTGGTTAAAATTGATAAAAGATTTGATTGAGCTACTACAAGTAGCATTTATTAGTCTCACCTATTGTTTCTTGCATTTAGCTTTATATCTTGTACTTCATATTTGCTTTGTTTGATCTTTATCAAAATCCAATTTTACTTGCAATTAGCTTCATGTTTTCGCTATGATGTTTACAAATTGCTTCATCCAGCTTGCTGTCAATCATTACTAGGTAGCATCACATTTGGTTATAAAGTAGATCATTTTCCCTTTCAATTGGAAACTTGATGTCTACAACACCCCAGAGCAATTCGCATGGCGCAGCTACAAACTTTGAATTACTCAAGAATTCAATTCAGGTTTGTATTATAATATCTGTATGTTTTGTAAAAGTGCATCGCGAATTTTACAGATAGCATATCATTTATCCTTGTTGTTGGAAGCAAACCTAACGGATTTTCTTAAGATTGAAATGCTGCAGTTTGGCGTCATACTATTTTTTTATCCCACTGGCCTTCTATAGGTTTACATAATAGTTCATGGTTTATTTTCTTACAGAAAGAGCAGGATAACTTGCAGAAACTGACACAGGAGGTCAAGCATCATGAAGACAATCTGAAATTTCTCAAGTCTAATGTGAACATTATCCATGAGTCTATCCATCATTTGCAAGGTTAAGTCAATTTTGGCATCTTTATTTTTCTTTACACCCAAGTTTGAGATGTTTTCTTTTAAAGATAATACTTATGGGTTTACTGCTTGAAGTTTGCTTGATTACAATTAACTATCTCTTAATATAATATGGAGTACTGTCTTAGGCAAAATAGTTGGTTAACTTATTCTTCTTTACTTAACAATTATTTTGTTTCTTCGCAAATGGATTTGATTTGAAACATCAAAATTTCCTTAGGTGAGCTGAAGGAATGTCATTCATCTGTTGTGGCTGTGGAATCAAATGGCAACATCACTTTTATAAACTCTGAGAAGCAGACACTTGATCATATACAGCAATTGGATGAAACAGCTGCTGGCATAATTTGTCAGGTAAAAGATCAACATGGTTCAGTGGCATCTACCCTACGGTGCACAAAGGATATAGTAGGAATTGTTGCTTCACTTGGAAAAGTAAAAGATGAGGAGCTTAGCAGGTTAGTTTTATGTCCCTTTTTTTTTGTTGTTGTACTTGATTCTTCACTCAGTTTGTTTTATGCAAGTATGATTGAGTTTTGTTTTTCAATTATTATTTGTAACTATGATTCATTGTTTATCCGATTAAAATCTATTAGCTTTCTAGAATGCAATTGTTTAGTTTTTTTGCAACGCCAGGCTTCCTCAAAAGTACTTTGATAGTTAATCTCTTGATCACAATCTTTTTAATGTTAAAGCTCGTCACTCCTTTGTCACCTGCAACTCAATAAGCATGCCATATGAGAGTCACCTGAACATTTTTTTTTTATATTACTCATTTGAAGTTTCAAAAAATTTAAATCAGAACATTATCTGAGTACTTGGGATTGGACACCATGTTGGCTATTGTTTGCAAGACACTAGAAGGTGTTCAAGCCCTTGAACGATATGAGAAAGATGGCTCCATTGACAGGAATACTGGTCTTCATGGAATTGCCCCAACAATTGGAAGGACAATGAAAGGTAGATTTCATGTTTTTTGCCTTCAAAGCTTCAGGTAAGTTTCATGTTCTCAGTCTTATTTCTGTTTGATGCAGACATATTGTGCATTTCTCATAAATGGATGCTTTCACACATTGGCAATTTTTAATTCATAAATCTGTTTATTTTTGTTTTCAGACCATTTGTTGGTGAATTTCTCTCCGACGATCCACAGAAAAAGCTTGCATTAATGAATCCAAGGCTACCAAATGGGAAGCTCCCACCGGGATTTTTAGGTTTTGCTGTGAACATGATCAGTTTGGATGACATACACTTATCGTGTGTCACAGTTGATGGTTATGGACTAAGAGAGACATTGTTTTTTAACTTATTTTCTCGTCTACAAGTATATAAAAGTAGGGCTGATATGCTATCTGCTCAGCCTTTCATAACAGATGGTGCAGTTTCCTTGGATGGAGGGATGATCAGAGGCTGTGGTTTATTTTGTCTTGGAGACAGGTTAGCTTTGTGACTGTTAATGCAAAAGTGGCTATTTTGTTTAGCCTTTCATATTTTTAGAAAGAGGGGACCTTTTGATGCAGCAACTAAGATGAGCTTTTAGTTTTAATTTCAGTATTCTTGAATTTATTAGTATTTTAGGTTTGTTTTATTTATTTATTTTAATAGCATATTATTTTGGATAATCTTTAGTTTTGACTGTTGAGTCATCTAAAATTAGATATGATCATATTTGAATTCAAGTTGAATAATCTATATTTGGTAAATGATATTTCCAAGTAGGTATTCATGGTTTTTAATCGAATGCAATTGAATGATGAATTAAATGAGTAAATCTTCTTCTTATATTCTTTTATATCGTCATTTCTTGGGTCCTGATCTCCTAATAATAATTTCTTGTTTCTCACTACTCTCAGCTGCATCATTTGATGTCAAAGCTGATTAACACATGTTGGTCAATTCCATCAATTGCTTTTGATGTGAAACTACTAGGAGTTATGTTCAAAATTAAAAAGAGAATTGTTAAAGTTTGTCAAAGCTGATTAACACATGTTGGTCAATTCCATCAATTGCTTTGGTTCTAGCTCGGACAACACCATCTTGTACCTTGCGCACCCTGCCTCGATCTCGATTGATAGGATCCCCCTATAAATCATCATTTGCTTCTGCTTGTGATCAATCACCCTCTTTCAACCTGCAATCGTTAGCTACCCTTGTGGGTGATCCTTTCATAGCCTCTCCTAAGTCACGATGCCTCATCACTTTAACCGTTGCGCGGATTTTTGGTTTCAATTCCTTCATAAAGTTTCCCTCCATTACAGTCTCTAGAAGCCAATCCAGTCAACTGGCAAGGTACTCAAATTGCTCACGGTACTCCACCATTGTCCCCTCCTGCATCAAAGCGAAGAACTACTCATAGAAGTCCCCTCCCCTGTTGGTTTGAAAACGTTTCAACAAACAGTCCTTAAACTCCCTCTATGTCCTTATTAGTCACCTCATTCCCCTCCACTGGTATCATGCTAAAGCTTTCCTTTCCAAGCACATCCCGACTGCCGTCAGTCTCTCCCCCTCCATCAACCTGTTGATGGTAAAGTACTTTTCCACCTTGTAGATTCACTCATGGACATCCTCTCCCTAGAAAATAGGCATCTTCAACTTTCTCACCCTTAGATCGCCTTTGTTTCCTTCATAATTTCCCATTACCCAAGAGGGTGATTCCCCTGAAGTGTCACAATCATCACTTCTACATTCGTACTGAAGCCTTTCATCAAATTCTCACATTCTCCTTTCAAATTCAGCACCGCTTAGATCATAACAAACCCCACCCTTTTCAAATTCAGCCCCCCTTTGATCATAATTACCCCTTTCCCTTTCAAATCCCGCCCTTCTCTTCAAATCAGCACCTCTTCATTCTTTCCCTACCTCCTCCTGCCTCTCCCCATAGCCTCTACCCGACTCCTCCATAGGAATAGACCCTAGGGGAGGCATTTTGTCATTTTCCTTTTCCAAAATATCCACCTTTTGATCTGCCCTTCATCTGATTGGCTTAAGGTTTTCCCCACTTCCCTGGCTCTCGGTGCCTTCCCTCACCTCTGATGGTGATATTTTCGTTTGGCTCTCAAGCACTTTCTTCAACATCTTCTCTTGGATCAAAAAATTCGAATCGATCTTATCATAGATGACTGAAATATCATTTTTTAAATATGAAACTTGAGTTTGTTGATATGAAATTTCAAATTTCATTTGTCTGATCACCTTTTCTAATACTTCTACCTTTCTTTTCGCCAAAAGTCCCCAGATCTTTGTTAGGCTCGAAAATTTGGATTTTCACCACAAAAACAGCTAAAATCTCAACCTAAAAAAAAAAAAAAAAACAGATGCAGGAATTTTCCAAAAACAGTCTGGAAACTGCTCTGATACCAATTTGATAAGAAGCGCTTGTAAAAATTTAGGAAAAGCCTAGGCTGAAATCTGATTTTTGCAATTTCAGAAAATCAATAACAAGAAAATTAGGAATAGAACACACAAGAACATTTTTTTATTGAAAGTTTTATGAAAGAAAATACAAGTAAAAGTGGGAAGATCCGGCTCTCCCAAATCTCTAGATGCTGCTAGAGCCCAAAACCTAAGATAGATTTCAAATTTCAGCCAAATTCAAGATGCCATAACTCTAGGAAAACAAAATATTTAATGCATACAATTCAAAAGGAAATCTCTAAACAATCCCTAAATTCAAATTTCCCTTCTAAACTCCTAAATCTTTCCTAGTCAGAGCTTTTTGGTTATGCGGTTTGGCGGCCCGTACAGGAGGCGGAGAAGTTTCGCCTTTGTTCTGCATGAGCCATCTCATATGGACCAGCTGGATCAGTCCAAAGGACCGGTCTAACAATTTATTTAGGGAAAGAGGGTTGATTTGAATTTAGATTTGGGAGGGAATTAGTAAGGTTTATTTAGGGAAAGATGGTTGATTTGAATTCACATTTGGGAGGGAATTAGGAAGGCTTATTTTGGGTTTATTAGGTTGTTTTAATTTCATTATGTGAATTATGTTCTGCTGTATTTTTTTTTTTTGAGTTGTTCCTTGTGACGCTTAGGATTTGTGGAGAATCGATCTATCTCTCGAATGGGAGATCAACCTGTATCTTGGTTTGTTGTGTCGATATCTCATTCTTTCTTGCTGATTTCTGCTGTGTATTCTCTTCGTTATTGTTGTTTTTGCTGTGTGGAGATTAGCTTCCTACCAATGTTCTTTTCTTATATTTCCTTATTTATCAGTTTTTGATTAAAATTTCTGGTTCAATTTAGGAATGAAATTAAGGTACAATTTCCTTTGGTGGATTCAAAACCAAGTATACCTAGAGAAGTACTTGAAATTGAGCAGCAGATCAAGTTTATGGAGTGGAAGAAGGAGATGCTCTCTTCTGATATACAAAGGGAAGAGTCATTATTAAATACCGTAAAATGTTTGCTGAAAGCCAAGTCTGATGGATATCGGAAGCTCATCAACGACGAACTGCTGAATAAGGGACGAAGCCCACCCCTAGGCCAATCAACACAGGTAACACTCGCGTTCAAGTAAAAGAATGTTTAAAAATGTCCATCTTTTGAACTTGAATAACATCACACACAAGATTTGGAGTGTTTTCATAGCTATTTCTGCTTCATCACAAAAAAAAAATAATTCTAACTCGCCATTCCTCATTATCAAGATTTTATTGACATCTATAAGGTTTCATTTGGGATGACTTTCTGACTGCTTCTTAAAACAGATTTTTAGTATAGAAATTCAATTTTTGTATCAAAAAGCTGTTTTAAAAACAATAAAAAAGCCGTCCCGAACAAAGCTAAATCTTCTCTCTGAACCTTATATTATCATTTGGCATTTTGGTTTTAGTGATTGGTCGGCTGATAATTTTGGCAAATTTTAGGCTCTCTGATACAAGTTGCAAGACGGCAATAGTTTTTTTTTGGATTTGGAGTTTCAATCTTGCCCATTTATTAGAAGACTTGATAATTTCTGTAATGCTGCCGGCTTCTAATGGTCATCTTAGCGGCTTCATTCATTACACTCTCGCCAAAGCAGAATAACAAATTTGGTGTTAGTTCACTGTGTAAATGATTTGCTCTGAAATTTCTGCTATTCTTTTTCCAATCTAACTGACAAGATGTTCTTCAATGTAGAGAGAGGGAGCAATTGTGCATTAGTACTGTTTCTTCTTGCTAACCTTTGTAATCTCTTATTGACGAAATGTAGTGAATGTAATAACCCCTTAACATCTTTAATGAGATGGAACAATTAATCGTTAGTTCGACAAGATAGATCTATGAAGTAAGCGTCTGTTATGTTCCTCAGGTCTTTTTTTTGTGCTGGGTATTGTTTTTTTGCGAGATTTCACATGAAATCGATTAGTGTTATTCTTATGGAGATGAACAAATTATTATAAGTCAAGTGTGCTTCCCAAAATTGTAAATGGAGGGGTATGTATTGGTTTTGTTCTTGATATGTATGAAATTTTGCTTGGTATTCTCCATAATGGTAAGGGACATTGTTGAATCCAATTTTATTTGGGAAATTATTAGGTGCGGAGACCGGACGTAGAGATACGTCTGAACATCCACTTAAAATTTGACATGTGGAGTGTACTTTGATTGCATTTTTTATGCACTTTATTTACGTTTTACTTGCGCTTTGATTGCATTTTAGTTGCGCTTTTTTACTGCGCTTTGACTATGTTAGATAACATGTTTGTGGGTGATGCGCAACTGTAAACTTCTATAAATATAAACTATTTGTTATTAAAATATTAGTACATAATTGTTTGCTGCACCTATTTTATGTTTGGAAGGTACATAAGTGTGTATTGGTTATATAAGGGATTAAAATATCATATTTTCTCAATAAAAATGCCAAAAAAAATATCATTATAACATTCAGATCAATTCATATCAAATAACATGTACAAAATCATGACTCATCATCAATCCATCAAAATAAAGTTAACATCATTATTTTAAAAGAATCTATCTATATCATAAAAGGAGTATCTCTACAATAACAATTCTCTCAATCTACTCCACTGGTGCTTTATCTTTGAAACATATAAACAAGCAAAGTGAGCATACAATTTAATTGGTTACATGAAACATACAATTATATTCAATGTAAGGTAAATCAATATGCATATTGTTATCAATTTAATCATATTCTATGCTAAATCAAGATTATTCTAAACTTATCCTTATACCTATTCATATATAGAAGGATGATCAAGATCATCAATTTAGAATCATATGTTCATGTTTGCTCTAATGATTATCTCTTATAATCATATATGTTAGTATGTAAGTGCATGTATCTTATGTGTATCATTATATCAACCAATGCATTTTTAGCAGTATCACTCTTGTATCATTCATGTGCTAATAAATCATCATATGTATCAGATGTATGTACCATGTTCATGTATATCAATGCAATGCATAACACTATATTCAGGTGTATCAATATTATGTGTAAAAATGCTATGCATCATATTATCATTTTCCAATATATTAATATGTTCATGTGTATCAATACTATGTCTCATGTCACATTTAGGCATCATCATGATATATCTATCAATATTATCTATCATATCATATTGGGAGCATCAAGGTATATGGTAGATCAATAATTATGTGATAGTATCATATATATGACTATGAGAGTAGAATAGAGCTATTAGAATGATTATGTGTTGTCATAGAAATAACATCATTATCATATATACTAATGCTATATATCGTATGAAATTATCATGTATACATGTCAACCATATGCTGGATAGAACAAATATAGAGATTATGCATTATTATGAGGTGTACTTTTTGTATCATCATAACAGTTCTTATCGTTTTAGATTCATGTCAGTGTTAATCAATAGCATAGTTATGCATCATTAATCAATATCATATGTAGTAATGATATATATCGTATCAAAAGTAATGTCATATATATGCATTATTAATGCATGTTAATTAATAGCAAATCATATTATCATTTTCAAATATATCAATATGTTCATGTGTATCAATACTATGTCTCATATCACATTCATGCAACATCATGATATATCTATCAATATTATGTATCATATCATATTGGGAGCATCGGTGTATATGGTAGATCAATAATTATGTGATAGTATCAAATATATGACTATGAGATGTAGAATAGAGCTATTAGAATGATTGTGTTGTCATAGAAATAACATCATTATCATATATACTAATGCTATATATCGTATGAAATTATCATATATACATGTCAACTGTATGCTGAATAGAACAAATATAGAGATTATGCATTATTATGAGGTGTACTTTTTATATTATCATAACAATTCTTATCGTCTTAGAATTATGTCAGTGTTAATCAATAGCATAATTATGCATCATTAATCAATATCATATCTAGTAATGATATATATCATATCAAAAGTAATATCATATATATGCATTATTAATTCCTATTAATTAATAGCAAATCGTGATTCTAGCTAATCATATCATATTAATTATATGATTATACATTATTACCTATTATACAATCATATCGTATTAGTCTCAATTATAGTTAGATGTCATCATATAGGAGTTGTCACTCCAATCGATTTGATCATTGCCCCCTATGCCTCCCATCATATCATGATTCGTATTCATTTAAAGAAAAGTTCATCGACTCATACTCCTATGTAGGGTATCCTATCATGTCTCCACTAATCTGAACCAACTAGTATAGTAGCCAACCTTTTTTGCATGCACATATTTCATGACATATATACATGTATATCAGATTATTGTGAATAGATAGTATCATGTAAATCACAATAACAATCTGTAATATTCAATACAATATGCTCATTTACATATATGCTTGTTTAACAAGTAAATCAATATAGAAATACATATTATAGCCAATAAACTCATGTCATGCACTTTGTACATATCAAATCAACCGTACATTTCTTTTCACTGTTTATACATCATATTAATCTATCATGCATGTAAATTATTTTACATAGTCTTAATGCAGTAGTTATATTTCAATTTTATGTGTATATTTATCATACTTTTCTTAGAGAGTATGTATCAACTAAAAAAAATATCAAGAGATATATCAACATGACGTGTCAAAATGTGTAGAATGATAATATCTATGGAATATTAGAAGTTTCACAGTAAAAGTTTGCTAAAAATTAAGATATCTAATCTTTTACCACTTCTAATCAATTTAAATCACTAAAATCCTAATGGAGTCAAAATCACTGTAAACTAAGATGGGATAAAAGTCACCTACTTGGAGAGGAGCACTTTTTCTGACTGACTTGACGGACGAAACCAGCACTACAACCATGAATACTACTTTCTCTTTATTTATTCTTCTCTTTTAATATCCCATATTTTGATCAAATCAAATAATATTTTAGAAGTTATTATAAGTTCAATTTGTAAATCATTTTTCTCATATTATAGATATTATTGTGCTCTAATTATAATAATTTTCTCTTAATTTTATGGGCAGTGTAGATATGAAAATAAGAAGTATTACAATTCTTTAAGAAATTGACACATTGGATTTTACAAGAGCATTCAAGATTGTTAGGCGTCTGCTTTATAAACCGATTTTATCATAACATTCAAGTCATGTTGGGTTATTTAATGAATATATTTTTTATAATTTTGAATCCTTATATTTAAATATATAAAATAATTTATAATAGTTTTATGTTAAAAAAATTGAAAAATTAATATAATATTATGTCCTTAATATATTTTATTATAAAAAAATCTCATTACACTTTAAACTTATAATGTGGCCATTTATTTCCCATTTTCATTTCCTGAATCCAGAGAAAAAATGGAATTCTAGAAAAAAAGAGAGATAAACCTAAAATCTGGAGGTCGTAGGGCTATTTTTGTCAACCAGCCTAATTGAAAAAATTGCTCGTCTCAAGGTAGGCTACCATTACCTATCTCTTATTTCAATAAATTTATGTATTTTAATTCGGTCAAAACTTACAAAAAATTTTAATATATTTTTTTAGTAAAGTTCGATCGTGTAACTTTATAGTAACTTTTTTTTTAGTAATTTTAAAATTTTAAGTTTAGTAAATTTTACTATATAATTTTATAATTTATATTGAAAAAATTTCTATATATCGTATAATATATTAAAATGACTTGTGTTATAATTGATTAATGGAAACATAATTGATATGATTGACACTGATTTCTATAGGCCTATAGGATTGATACATGAAAAACACCATAGTTAGTTGTATGTTTTTTTCTTGCTTATTGTACTTGCATATGCATATGACATGAATATATAATGGGCATGATTTACTTTTGTAAATCATGTGATTCATGTAATCATATATATATAATTACATAATGGGCATGATTTACAGAAGATGCAGGCTATAACTAATATAATTATTTGATAAGATTGATAAAACTGATACAAAAGTATTTGATATATATGAATCACATGATTTATATGATATAATTTCATAGTATAGACACTGTAAGACATGCATATGATAATGATATGTATACTTATATTATAAGATGCTATATAAATTGTTTTAAAACTTTTGGGTACATGATCGACAAAACTATTTGATAAATTACATAATGAACATGACATGATTTATAGAAGATGCAGGCTAAATTGATCACTATTCACCTGGTTACTGCTCTTAAGATATACAATTGTACTGATAATTATTAATAATATGATATGTTAGTATTTTATTGATTATTACATGCTTTATTGTTATATATTTGTATTGATAGTTATTGAATGATTACTATTCATATTGCATTGCATTGATTTTAATTATAGATTTTGGTAACCTACTGAGCTATTAACTCACTATGTAGTTTTACATATTTTCAGGAAGGGTCATGATCTAATAGAGTGGGGATATATTTTGGATTCATATATTATTTTATTCATATATTTTCTTTAATTTTATTTTTTTATAGTTAAGAGTTAAAAGATAGACTAATAAATGTATAGATTGAACTCTTGACTATTGCACATGAATTTTGAGAGATGAATATAATTTTATATTTTAATACTTCTGTTGGATTAATTTATATTAATGAATTTATAGAAGTTCTGGTTGATTAATTAAATTATTAAAATAGATAATTCTTCCTAAATTTGATCCTAGGGTGTTACAACTCTCTTCTCCCTTACTCATCATTCTTATTCTCTTATCTCCTGCCCAAATGGAATGAAGTATAGAGTTAGGTGGGTTTAGATATTTATATAAAAATTATGAGAAGTGATCAGTATCATGGTGCTACAACACCCAACACCGTTGCACTTCCAATGATTTTTCATTCTTTGGAGTCTTCTTATAAATCGAGACCCCAGAATCATAAAAGTCTCAAGCACTGTACATCAAATAGAGAAGGTAGTGCCACCGTGCCCCCAAAAACTTTATTTATTTTTTTTCTTTATACGGAGAGCTTAGCGCCGTAGCACTCCCCACACCAATATCGGAGTGCCTCAAGGGTGATTATATCCTTATTAACTTTCTCTTCAAATTCAACTCCTAAATCTCTTTTTCATTCTTTGAAATATCAATGAGGCTAAATCACATATGAGAACTTACTCGAGCCAACATGTGTCATATTTATTGTAAAAACGATTATTACAAAATGTAATTGTGGAGAAGATGAGTTCATGGATGGGATCAATGGCTTGTGAAATAGAGTAGGAGGCCACGATGGACCGGTTGGGCAAGGCAATGATGGAACCCTGACATGCGACTAACCTATTTAGCAAAGGCAACCCAGGAATAGCGGTGTGCGATAAAATACATTGGGGAAGGCATCATAACACCTGTGACATGCATCAAACCTCAAAATAAGAAGCCATCAACCATCATTATACTGATGTATTGCATTGGATCTCATTGGACAAGCCATCGTAGAACTAGTGAGTATGTGATAGAGCTTGTTGAGGAAAGTATTATGGGACTACTGATGTGTAAAGAAGAAGATTCTTTCACACATGAGCTTGCTCCAAAAAGGCAGTTAGTACAAAAAATAAAAAAAATTTGTACTAGAAATCTGCTTTATGAAGTAGTAAGAAAGTCGTCCCAAACGAAGCCTAAGAGGACAAGAATAACAAAGTTTGAATGTTTAAGAATGATGAAAGTTCAAACCATATTTGAACTTAAGTTTGAATTAAATTTGAACTAGTTCATTCTAATTCCATTACCGATAAAATTCAATAAGCAATCTAAGAATACAAGAATAAATAATTTCGTATGAAATAAAATAATTTAGAATTTATCCTAAGGAAATTTTTAGATATATTTCTCAAAATATATATATATATATATATATTTGTTATATTCAATTTTAAATTTCTCTCGTTAGCTCAACCTAAGGAGAAATCGCTTTCTCCAATCCTCCGTTGTTAGCCGCTGCTAATCCTATACTCTATAAGTCCAAACGGAACGGAATTGATCGCTAGGCCTTCTGGTAATAACAGAGAGTTGGGTTCAGTGGCCATTTAGGGAAGACGAGAAATTCATCGGCTGTTCAAGTGGAAACCAAGATGGCTTCAAAGGAAACCTACCGCACCGAGCTCCGATCCGCCGCCCGCCAACTTGGCGACCGCTGTCTCCACTCCGCTGCCAAATGGTATATTTTTTCACTCTCGCTTGCTTCGTCTTCCTAACCCCTCTATTCAAATCCTAACATTCTCTTTTACAGGGCTGCTGAACTCCTTGTCAGCTTGGAACCGGACCCATCGTCCTCCTCTTCCTCCACACCTCCTCTCTCTTCCCTTTCCTCTCGCAACTTCCCCTCAGCTTCCACCTCCTCCCGCTCTCTTTCCGCCCCCTACGGGCGCCACCTTGACGGCTCCTCCCTCCGCCGCCGCCTACGATCCGGCGGCAGCGCAGCCGACACTTCAGCGACGCCTGTCGGTGGGATCTCGTATGTCAGCACGCCGATTCCTGTTGAAGATGGAAGCGAAGGCGATAGCGATGTGTATCTTCTCGCTAAGGCTTACTTTGATTGCCGGGAGTTCCGTAGGGCCGCCCATGTGCTTGGTAAGCAAACCGGGAGGAAGGCCGTCTTTCTTAGGTGCTATGCGCTCTATCTGGTATGCTTTCTGGCTATTGCATAAATGCTACTAGGTGTTAAGTCTGGTAATGAGATTTGATATTGCTGTACCACAAATTGGTTAGGGTTTTGTTTGGGATATGTTAGTTTTTTCACCTTGTTATTATTCTTTGAACCGGCCTGTTGACCTTTAAATTCTCGAAGTCTGATGCACATCATTTGTGAAAAATTAATGCTTTTCCCTACAACCTACTGTCTGTAGTAGGATTTGGGCAGGCATTTAAAACTGTTGGACTGGGGCTATGTTGGGAGAATAATTTTGATGAGAAGTTAACAAATTTTCAACACTGGCTTATACGGCATTTTATGCAAAAGAGAGTTCAATTTGTTTACCATTATATATATAAGAGAGTTCAACTTGCTTTCCTAGAAAGCAGCAGCCAATGTTACATCATTCCATGAAATATAATATAGAGATGGCGTTGAAATATGTTCACTTAGGTAACTAAGAAGAGCATTTTCTTGCATTGATGTGTGTATCCTATTTGTTTGAAAATAGGTCATTGAAACTGCTCCCTTTCTGACTTTCGATGTATTCTGATATTGCATTGGAGCAAAAATAGATCTGGATGTGCTTTATAAAAGTGGAGTGGGTGAATTATCTGGAATACTACTAGAGTTCTGTGAGATGGATATTGGCAAATCTTATGTACAGTATGTGATAGTCTGCAAGATGAATTGCTATCTTTTTATTTGAAGATTGCTAGAAAACCGGGAGCAAGAGTGATATTTTGATCATGCTTTACATTACAAGCATGACATTCTTCAAATGTTTTTTATTGTTGGCAAGCATGCCCTACATTTGTATCCGACTATCCGTAATGGTATTCGTAGGTGTCACATTTGTTACTTGTTTACCATCATTAAAATTATGCTTTCGACATTTCTTGTTTGGTTATGATGCAAGCCATTACCAACAGTTGTCTTCTCATTTAGCCTTAATCTGAAATCAGAAGAAATCTTGATTTCATGTTTCTAATATCCATTCAAGAATATCGTTCCTACTTATCATCTGAATTTCTTCTTTTAAGGTATGGTTTTACTTCTTTGGTAAATGTATTGTGATGAATGTATCTCAAGGGTTGCCTATTTGCATAATCTCATTTGCTGATTTGTGGAGGAAAGTACCCATATTTTGTTATCAAATAAGCTAGCAAACTTATAATCTCTTTGTTTTGGTAGCTCCCCCTACTGCATTGTGAGCAATGCATGCTAGGCTAGAAGATGTCTTATGTGATTTTGGGAGGGTTGCGATGGGAGGGACGACTAATGTATCCTCCACATTCTTGCCTTCTTTCGCATGGGGCACAACTAGAGCTGCAAATGAGCTATAAGCCGAGTCGAGTAGGTATTTGTTCATGTTTGAGCTTGTTTATTATCAGTTTGTTTGAGCTTGATTCGAGCTTTTATGTTTGTGTTCAAGCTTGGTTTATTTAAAATGGACGATATTCAAATTTGGTTTGTATTCGACTCATGTTTGGTTCATGTTGTGTTTATCGAGCTTTAAATGAGCAGCTCTTATAAAATAATAAATGAGCCTTATCGAGCTATTAACAAGCTTGACTTTTGAGATGCTTATTAACTTAAATAGCAAACCTTATCATGCCAACTAATGAACAATTATATCGAGTCTTATTGAGCCCGTTAATGAACATATCTATTGAGCTTTCTCAAGCCCATAAACAAGCCAACCTATCAAGCATTTTTCGAGTTTAAAACAAGTAGCTTGTTGAGCTCATCAAATAATATTTTTAATGAACGAGCTTCTTAATGAACACTAAAAAAAAAAGAAAATATGAACAAATACTTCTTGATCATGAGTGATTCAATCTAATGAATAGTGAAAGAATATAAAATAAAAAATGAATTTATATTTTTGTTACAAAATAAAATTTATTTATTATAACAAATTACAACGAGCTATAAATACTAAGTTGATGTAAGGTACTAAAGATCTAAACAATTAAATAACTATTAAAATAACCCTAAAACAACCAATAAATTCAAAATAACAACCATAATAATAAAAAATTATCTTAATAATAACATTAAATTAACATAATCTATTTCAACATATATTTAAGACAGATGACATAATAACACCATATAGTATAATAATGTATTGGAAAGTATTACAAAGTTTTGCTTTTTTGGTTGCTTTCTTTAGCTTCTCAACACTAATTTGCTTGAACCACGTTCTCAACAATGACTTTCTTCAGCTTCTCCTCAATCTTTTAAATTATGAATCTGATGCTTCTATTTTCCTTCAGTTTCAAAAATTTCAGCTTGCAGTCATCATGCACAACCATTATTGATGTCTAATCTTGCCAACTCATTGTCAATACCTTGGAAATATAGCCAACGCAAAATTAAATAATAAACATTCTACAAAAAAAAAAAAAAATCCTTACAAACCTGACAACATGAAATACCTACTGAAACAAAGGTTTTAGTGTATATACTATGCATTTGAACCAAAAACTCTAACTATTAAAGAAACACCTTGATAATGATTATCTTAAGGTTTGGCTGATGACCCCGACAAACTACTTTTCTTCTCGCCCACTGGTCCCAACAAATTCCTGTTCACGTACACGACTGTTCTCGTCAGTGCCTTCTCGAACTACAAACCAATTGCCTACCTCTCTTCTTTGTCTGAGACTGGAAGGGTTTTGGGATTTATAGGATCGGCATATTGATGGAGAAATATGAGGTTTTCGTTGGTGCCTCTTTTAAAAATATTATAAAATATAAGTATCTATAATTAATAATACTTAAAATAAATTATAAATAACAACAATTTAAGATATTTATGATTTACTGTGATTAATAGATGCTCTAATATTTAATTAGTTTTGAAATTTATTAATTAATGATTACTATGTTACTAAATCATAATAAATATTAAATATTCATATTAGGTTATTCATTATTTTCATAATGAGATTTAATCAAGCTCTAAATCAAACATTAATTGACTTTCTTAATGAGCTTGTTTACGAGCACTATATCAAACATTAATCGAGTTTTTTAAGGGGCTTCATATTGAGCTTTTTATTGAGTTTGTTCACAAGTTTTAAATGATATTATTCATTAACTAAAACTAGTTGAGCAAATAGCTATTCAAGTTTGTTTATTTAACCATCGAGTATTTAAAAATCATTTCCAAACTTGTTTGATTACGTAATAAAACAATCATTAATGAGCTATAATTGAGTTGAACCACGAGTAATTTATTGAACACTCGGTTCGTTTGCAACCCTAGGCGTAACCTTGGAATGTTTCTGTCCAAAATCGATAAACTTGGAAAACAGCCATGCAACACAGCTAATTGAAGTCATGGTGCCATGCAACAGGGGGTATTGTTGCATCGCATGAAGGAATTCTGAAACAAAAAAAGCTTCTAACTTGTTGCTGCCCTTGAACCTACATGTTCTTGTTCTCTATTTTTGTCGTTTGGACTTTCAGGTTCTTGTATTCTATTTTCTGTAATACAATGTGGGGCAGAGTCGGGTTGTGGTGTAAAATTAACTCACGTTTTATTAGAAAAGCCAAAGGTGAAGCTTAGGTTCATTACATCTCAAAGTCTGTTGAACCTATTAGATAATCAAGATTACAATATCGAGGATGTAAAATTTTTATTTTATATTTTTCAGTTAATTAATTGTGATGTTTTGCAAGCAATAATTTTCTCCCTTTATTCCCCCCACCCGGCCACCCCCCTCTTTTTTTTTTGTTCTGATCTTGGCCAACCAGGCCAAATCCTTCTCCTTTTGTTCCTCTCAGAATGTCTCTATGGATCATCTAGTTAATTTTTCCCTCTCAGGAGAGTAAGCGGTTCATTTGGAAAGGATATGTTTGGCAGATTGTGTTGCGAACCTCTTTTGATTCAAACAGTTGTTATGGTAAAAATCTTTGGTAAAATTTCCTAGGAAACCTTAGATTTGGTTCCGGTCATTGAAGGCATCCTAGAAATGTTTTTTTAATGATTTGCTTCTAATTTTTCAAAATTTAAGTGTAACTAGCTACACCTTTCTATTTTATTGTATTTGCAGTACAATTCAGAGTTCTTTACCCGCCCCCTTTTTGTCTCCGTTTCTTCTTTTGTCCCATTTGAACCATAATCCCTGAAATATTTAGATGTAAGAATCAGTTAAGTTCCTATTAATACACCTTCTGCATTTAATGTCCTATGGATTTTAAAATCAGAATAATCTTTTCTCACAGGCTGGAGAGAAACGTAAGGAGGAAGAGTTGATAGAAATTGAGGGTTCGTTTGGCAAATCTGAAGCTGTTAATAGTGAATTGGTTTCTCTGGAAAGAGAGCTATCTTCCCTTCGGAAGGCCGGTGCCATTGATTCTTTTGGGTTATACTTGTATGGTATCATACTGAGGGACAGAGGTTGTGAAAACCTTGCTATTACAGCCCTTGTTGAGTCCGTCAACAGTTTCCCCTGGAATTGGAGTGCCTGGTTGGAACTGCAGTCTCTATGCACCACAACCGATATTTTAAACAAGTTAAATCTCAAAAACCACTGGATGAAAGATTTCTTTCTTGCCAGTGCATATCAGGAGCTTAAGATGCATGATGAAACTCTAAAAAAATGTGAATCCTTGCAGGCCGTCTTTCGGCGCAGCGATCACATACAGGCTCAAATCGCTACGGCTCTGTATGGTTTGACAGAGCTTGATGAGGCTGAGGTGGTTTTTGAAGAAATTCTCAGGAATGATCCGTATCGTTTGAACACGATGGACGTTTACTCGAATCTACTTTATGCTAAGGAGTGCTTTTCGGCTCTTAGTTTCCTTGCTCACAAGGTCTTTTTAACTGATAAATATCAGCCTGAATCATGCTGCATCATTGCAAATTACTACAGTTTGAAAGGACAGCATGAGAAAGCTGTTTTATATTTTAGGAGAGCATTAAAACTAAACAGAAAGTATTTATCAGCTTGGACTCTGATGGGTCACGAATATGTTGAGATGAAGAACACTCCAGCTGCAATTGATGCTTACCGACGGGCCGTCGATATAAATCCTCGCGATTACCGTGCCTGGTATGGTCTAGGGCAAACATATGAAATGATGAGCATGCCATTCTATGCTCTTTACTACTTCAAAAGAGCTTCATACTTGCAGCCAAGTGACGCCCGTCTTTGGCTTGCTATGGCTCAGTGTTACCAAAGTGCTCCACTTGAGATGCTTGAAGATGCGATCAAGTGTTATACAAAGGCTGTAAACTGTAATGAAAGGGAAGGGATTGCACTGCACCAGTTGGCCAAACTTCACAGTGATCTGGGGTACTCTGAAAAGGCTGCATATTTCTATAAGAAAGACTTGGAGATGATGGACGCTGAAGAAAGGCAGGGCCCAAACATGATTGAAGCTCTGCTTTTTCTCACCAAGTACTTGAAAGCTGAGAAAAGATTTGAAGAAGCTGAGGTTTACTGCACTAGGCTTTTGGATTACAGCGGGCCAGTGAGTCCTTGTTCTATTTTCAATAAGTTTACTTCTGCGAAAGAGCAGAAAATAAGAAAATAAGTTTTTTGGTATTTATTTGCAAAGCTATAGGGATACTTCTTATAGAAAATGCATTTTTCCTTCATTCACTGTGATAAACCTTTCATGCATACTTTTTTCAGGAAAAGGAGACGGCAATGAGCCTTCTGAGAGGATTGAGGGTAGCTCAGTCCGGTCTTCCATCCTCTTCTAGTCTTGAACAGTTTTCTACTTCATGAAATCCTATCGGAGAAGTTTTTGCTGTGGAAGATGACAGCTTCAACAGGTTGTTCACATAGCAGAACGTCTGATTTCCAACTTCTCTGCTAAAGATGCACAAATTTGATCCGAAAGTCTAAGGCTTCGTTTGTGACGGCTTTCTTGCTGCTCCTTAAAGCAGTTTTTTAGTACAATTTTTTTTTTAATTTTTTACTAAAAAGCTGCTTAAAAAGCAGCAAAAAACCGTCCCAAATAAAGCTTAAATAAATCGTTTCTTCTTAATCTTATACAAAAGATACAGTTTTGTGCTTTCTTACCTGACATCAACTAGGAGATGAAATTCTGTAGTTCTTATCCCTATAACTTATCTGCTAATTGAATGCATGTACTCTTGCAGGAAGCAGTGTTTTTCAAACACTGAAGACATGAATTGCTCGCCATGCTTGCTCGAGAAAACTGGGATCTATATGGTGAAGTTATTAATTCATGAAGAAACTGAAGAGAAAGCCTGCATGAAATCAAAGCAAGACTGCGGCTTCGTTTGGGATAGTTTTTTTATTGTTTTTTAAAGTAAATTTTTAGTACAAAATTTTAAAGCAGCAAAAAACCGTCCCAAATAAAACTTAAATAAATCGTTTCTTCTTAATCTTATACAAAAGATACAGTTTTGTGCTTTCTTACCTGACATCAACTAGGAGATGAAATTCTGTAGTTCTTATCCCTATAACTTATCTGCTAATTGAATGCATGTACTCTTGCAGGAAGCAGTGTTTTTCAAACACTGAAGACATGAATTGCTCGCCATGCTTGCTGGAGAAAACTGGGATCTACATGGTGAAGTTATCCATTCATGAAGAAACTGAAGCTCATGCACCAGATGCACAGAAAGCCTGCGTGAAACCAAAGCAGCTTCTTCATTTGAGATAGTTTTTTTACTGCTTCTTAAAGTAATTTTTTAGAACAAAAATCTTAATTATTTTATCAAAAAATTATTTTAAGGAGTATTAAAAAAACCGTTCCAAATGGAACCTGAGAGGATGACCTCAGTTCAATCTATTTATTTGCGTCGTATATTGCCTTTGATCAATAAAGTGGCTATTGCCATGCCAGTATTGTGAATTTATGGCTATTGCAACTGTTGAGTTGTTTCTGATAGAATGCCTTATAGACTTGGTTCATAGTGTGCATGCAAACTGAAACATACGTTGATTTCATATAATTTATCTATTTAAGTACATCATTTGTGAATTTTTACATAGCTAAATGTTTTCTTATGTTATTAATCAAGATGTGGGGTACTTCTTTTTTCTTCCAGCCTATTTCTGAATAAGCCATTGGATATTGTTATGATATGAGGAAATAGAATTGGATGCCTTTGTCTATTTAATAATATTGTCTGTTTTTAGGTAATGATAATGATTTTTCTAATATTATTTAAAAAAAAGAATATATTTATTTAATTTTATCCTTCATAATTGTTTATTTCATTTAATTTATTGTCACATATTTGATATGATTATATAAGTATTATGGCATGTTATTTTTAAATAAGATTTGATCTCTATCATCCTCATTGGCTCTAGTATTGCTAAGATTTTAGATTAGGATTAGGGTGTCCATTCCTAGAATTCAATGTTTTATCCATCGGTTTTGCGTGGATGATAGTTCCCCTATTTGAACTAAGCATCTATAGCCTAAAAATTATTCATTATTTTACTATGTATATGGCTAGCTTGCTTTAAATGATGATCTAGAAACTTCTGAGGCATTTATCAAGAGAAATATTCATGTGCCTTCTAGTTGTACCCTTTGAAACCACTATCTAGAAAGCTTTAACCTCCTTTTTTTAATGTGATTTTACCTTTCACCTACTGCATAAGCTCGTCTTGCATGACATCTTTTTTTGCTTCGGCCAAACCTACAACAAATTTTAGATTTTATTGAACATCTTCACTATTTGGGATGTTGTTTATTATACTTGGAAAGCACATAACATCAAAAATTTGGAATGCATTATAGTAGCTTATCCATTGTTTTTAGCTATACCAAGAAAGCTATTCATCTTAAACTTCACACATGGAAGAATTGGGATTCCTTCTTGGGCTTCACTCAGAGTTAATTCAACACTTTCTGCTTTTATTTTGGCAGCATGGCCAGCTTTATTTTAGCATCTTTTGGATAACGATGAACGATTTTTGTCGCCTTTTATTTTCTCCTTGGATGGTCTTTATTGTTCTTAGGCTCGCATGTGCTTCGACCACTATACCAAAACTCCTAAATCTAGGTTTGGCTAGTAAATTTTTAAATTTTAGATATGATCCTCCTCCCTAAAAGGACCAGAGTGGACAAGATCTGAACTTATAAGTTGATATATAATCTCCCAATTTAAGCATATATACGATAATCTCTAAAATTATTATTCTAACTTGATCCTCTTTTAGAGGGAAAACATAGTTAACAGGGTTTGAACTACAACAATGAGATTATTTAAAATATTTGATTATGGTCATGTTAATAGAAAATCTCAACAAGAGGTGAACCAATATTTTCAAAAGCTCCCCAAATTCCTAGAAAAATATAAAATCTTTTTTAAAGGTGACTGTAATGTCACCATGATGTTGGTCATGTTGATAGAAAATTTCAACTAGAGGGGTCCACAAAATTTTAAGGAAACATCCCTATATGCTAAAATTTATAATCATGGGGCTCAAATTCTAACAAAAACTTAAAGTTAGATATTTACCAAAGTCTAAATTTTAAAATGAAATTAACACCTAAAATCTTAAAGCAAATATTCTTTTGCCTTCCAAAATTATTTGTTGGGGGGTGATAAATTTGAGAATAACTTCAGATCATAAAGAACAAATGTCATATCAGATGTATTATTAAGATTCATTCTCAAGTCATCTTTCGTCAATAAAGATTTGACACATGTCCTCTAATCGATAATTTTGCTGCTAAATGACATCACATTTAAAGGATTATGACCGGTGCCTTCTGATCGAGTGATTTTACCGCCAAATGGTACCACTAAATTATAGCCATGGTCATAACCCATATGTTCCCCAATGGTTTAAAACTCCTAAATAATGAATCATATAGTATATTTGATAGGGCACAAAGCTCTTTATTAGTTGAGGTCAACTCAAATATATCTGATTAGGTAAATATTCACTCCAAGTCTACAAGGTACCCTTAGACAAAGCAATCCATGGTTGCCGATAAGGATTCTTCGGTCATGTTAGGTCAACAATCTCCTTTAACTAAGTAGAATAGGGACCATGACAGCCCTAGATGATGGAATCATGAGATCTTGATCATGCATTTCATCATTCCTCCATGAACCGCTTTAAGTATATGGTGATAAATTTCAAATTTTAGAAATCCCAAAAATCTTATTTTCAATTTCTTAAAGTTGCTGCTACTATATGCTAGGTACTTAGTGCCCATTTAATGACTAGAGTTAATCAAAAGTTCTCTCTCATTATCAAGAGGGGTAATTAACTAGGGGCTTGTGCTAATAGAAAACCAAATCTCAGATCATGAAGTCCTTACAAGATGAGGGAAAAATCCTTGGGAAGCATATTATCTAAAATTTAATATGCATTCTAAAAATTTAATATGGAACCTAATTAATTAAAACTCTCATCGTCAACAAAAAATTCACAGAGAGGCCGTGGCGTAAATTTTTGGAGCCCATATGGTTCTAATAAGGCTTTGAACCTAGTCCAAACTTGATTTGAATACTATTTATACTTGGTAAATTCTCACTTAAACCTCCCTTTTCAAACATTGTTTGATATGAGTTCAAACCCAGTTTAAAAATTGCTTAAGCACTATAATCATATTGGAACCTTGCTCAAACCTCTTCAAACATTTCTTGATTAGGTTACAAGCATGGTTCAAACCAAATTCAAATGTGGTTCAAACATGATCGAATCAGATTCAAATAATGTTCTAACAATGTTGAAATAATATTAGAACGAGATTTAGAACACATTTGATCAAGGTTTGAACCTCATTTATATGAAACTTTAAACTAAAGTTCAAATATGAATCAATTCTAACCAATTTGATAAATGGTAGGTTTCAACAAGTTATATTCAAATACCAACAAAGCATTGTGGTCCAAAACCAACAATTCTTTAAGAAAATAAAGAAAAATTTAAATTTATACTCTCATTTTATCAAAATTAAAAAAATATGCTTATTAATTTAGCTGAATAAATATGTCCAAAATTTCCTTTCGAACCAAATACCTTTCATTTGATCAAAAATTACTTTTTTTTAATGTCTTTCGTGGTCAATAGAAGTTCGAACACATTCCAAACAAGATTTGAACAACCTTTGATCAAGGTTGATATCACATATGAAAAAATTTAAGGCATATTAAAACATTCTTCAAAACCTATTCGAATCATGTGCTCTGATTCGAAGATAGATTCAAACATGGTTAGAATATGATTTAAATAAGGTTCATAAGAGTTTCAAATAATGTTTGTACATAGTTTGAAAATAAGATTTGTACAAAGTTCAAACATGATTTGACCACATGCTAAAAAATAGTATAATGCAACATAGTGCAATCATAACATCTATAATATAATAAATTATAAGGTAGAGCTGTCAACATTTGACCTGACCCGAACCCGGCCCGAAAATTTTGGGGTCAGGTTCGGGTTCGGGTTGCCGGGTCAACCCGCGAACCCGGTTTAACCTAACCCCTGCTGCCGCGTGACCCTGCGTGACCCCGTTGCTTCCCGCGACCCAGCCCCGCGCGACGCACCAGCCCCGCGAACCCCTATTATAAGGTGGACACCTAAGAGTATAATTTAATCATTATAAAACATTATAATGAGAAGTGTTACATTAAATAAAAATAGTTATAATGTTCTTATATGAATAAGTTAAGTGCATTCATAATAGCTACTGAAACTAAAATAAATTTTTTGATACAACTGAATACAATCACAACATTTATAATATAGCATTTTTGAAGTATCTGTCGTGTATCTTAAGTGTTCATGTTAATACTGAATTGATGTATCTATATAAATTTTCCAAATATGTCAACATCTATATCACTATTAAGTGTCTAAATCTATAATTAATGGACATGGTTGAAAAAAATTTTAAATCATGATTAAATATTTTTAGATCATTGTTCAAACACTTAAAAAGTACGAGCAAAATTCATCAAGTTTCGAATAATGTTTCGATCAAAGTCAAAATAAGTTTCGATCAAAGTTCAAAGATTTTAATCTATTTTTTGCTCTAAAGTCCACTTATATAATAATGATCTATTATTCTTTTAATTTTGGAAATATTTTAATCATAATATTATTTTCAGGCATATTTAAAAAAAAATGATATGCTAGCACATTTCTAAAATTATGAAATATGTAAATTTAAATCTCACATAATAAATAGTAGGATGCAATAGATAACCGGTCCAACTTCGATGAAATGTAGAAAAAAAAAAATTTAGGTTCTCTTGTCGGAACTAGTGCGTTCTGCTTTCTTCTTCGCCGTTGTGGACGGCGGCTCCTGCCATCACCCCCTTCAGACAACGGAAGCCCGCGGCCATCGGCTCCGTACCTATTCTTCCAGCTTTTCTTGGTGAGATCTTCTATTCCTTCTAGCATCCCTCAGTCTTATTCTCAGTGTTTTCCGAGCTATTTGCGGCGGATTGCCTTGTAAATCGACTGCTCGACCCTCTGCCATCTCCGGCTCTCTGCTTGATTTTTCGCTCTTGACACTCGAATTAGAGGAGACGACTGGAGAGGAGTTCGTTTTTCATCATTCTAAGGTGCTCTGGTAAGTCTTCTTCGTTAATCCTTACTTCTTCGGTTCTTCCTCGATTCGCCAGTTCGCCCGTTCTTCCTGTTTTGCTTCGGTTTTTCTTGGTTACATTTTTTTGGTTTTATATGTATTTGGAGTTGGAGAAAGAATATTGGGTTTTCTTTATCAAATCTTTGTTGGGTTTTCTCCTTACAATAATATCATCGGTTCAATTTTCCATTCAAGTTATATGTTATTATGGTCTCATTGCAAAAACTGAAGTTTGTATGAATGTTTGATCAATGCCGTAAAAACTGTAGTATGCATGTGTAATGGCAGTAATGTGTTTAGTGAAACTTAGGACTCATTAATCATTATGGATGCTTAAGTAGTTAAGTTGCATTTGATTTTAAATCACAGATTCAGATCCATGAATATGTGATTAATACTTGATTCAGTTGTTTAGATGCTTGAGTTTAAATCACAGATTCAGACTCATTATGGATGCTTGAGTTTCCTTTATGTAAGGTATTGTTTACGGTTTACCATCTCAGTGATAGATAGTGAGAGTTTTGTTAGATGTTTCGTGCCACAATTTTTTATAGTCTATTATGAGCAAATGAAATGCAAATATGCAATTAGTTACTAGTATAGTCCTATTGATTAACATAAGAGATTATAAATTTAACAAAGATGATATCTTCATTTTTGTATATAAGAACAAGAGTAATGAATAGATAAGATGATACTATAAAGAAGTAAAAACAATGGTTAGATGGATGTAGGTTAATATTAATGTGGGTTAAAATTGATATTAAGGTTTTATATGAGATTTTGTTTCTACTTGTATTAATACTTATTTGTTGTGATATAAATATTTTGATTAATGGATGCTCTTTTTTGGTAATAAATTTCATTCTATGGTTAAATAAATGGAGCGTTATTTAAAGAGGAAAGAGCGAGTAGAAATTGATATTAACAATCTCCCAGCAGATCCAGGACTCTGACTTCCTATTTGGAGTTATGATGTAAATGATAGAGATAAGATTTGGAGATCATATCTATTGAAGGGACCCCATCAACCGAGAAGTCATCATTTTCCCCAAACTTTATATGAAAATATTGCACGTAGGTTCAATCCGAAATGGTTTGATGAATACTCTGATTGGTTAGAGTACAGTGTGCAGAAAGACGCTGCTTTTTGTCTTTACTGCTATCTATTTAAACCTCAAGAGCAGATTATTAAAGGTCAAGGTGGTGGGGATTCATTTATTGGAGAAGGGTTCAAAAACTGGAAGAAGAAAGATAAATTATTATGCCACATTGGAGATCACAATAATGTACATAATAGGCTAGATAAAAATGTGAAGATTTGATGAAGAACCAAGAACACAATCTTCCAGCTTTATGGTTAAGCAAAGATGATAAGAACAAAAAATAATATAGGATCATGTTGACTGCTGCCATTGATTGTGTTAGATTTTTGTTACGTTAGAGATTATCATTTCGTGGGCATGATGAGTCTTTCAATTCAGAGAATCGAGGAAATTATTTAGAGCTATTTGACTTTCTATCTGATCATAATGAGGAAATTAAAACAGTAACATCTGCACATGCCAACTCAAATCTGAAGTTAACTTCACCAAAAGTCCAGAAAGAAATATGTTTTGCTGCATCAGCTCAAACTTTAACATATATCATGAAAGATATTGGTGACTCGTACTTCTCACTTATAGTTGCTACTGCTACAGAAAGAAATATGTTGCTACTGCTACAGTGGAGAGAGCATTTTCAGCCATGAAAATTATCAAACATCGATTGCGTAGTAGGATGAGTGATGATTGGCTCAACGATTGTCTTGTGCCTTATATTGAAAAAGATGTGTTTGATTTGATTCACAATGAAGATGTAATCTAATATTATAAAAAAATGCAAAATAGATTGATAAAATTGTAATAGTTTTTAATTTATCAATCATATTGGAATGCAAGATTTCACTTTGAATTATGTCCTCATTTTGTTTTTTTAAGATTTTTCTATTAATAAGAAAATTTTGCCCCCCCTAAGATGAAAGGCTGGTTCTGCTCCTGATTTTACTTTAGTTAATTATTAAGGAAAGAAGTCATTGTTGTTGAACTTGTGGAACATTCGCAAATATTTTTGTTTACCTCTTCCGTAAGGCACCAACTTATGATTTTTACCTATAAATTTGCTGTTAATCAACTGTTATGCATTCCTCGTGAATTAATTATAAATGATAATAAGTTATTCCATTGTTGTGCAATGATTATTAAATTATAATTTAGTTTTAAAAATAGGAAAAAGTTGAACATGATTCACTCAGAGGGTGTTGCAAGCAATAACAATACAGCTACATTTTGGAATAAAAAAAGCTTTGATGACCACAAGAAAAATACAAAAGAAAGGAGAAAATCCAATAAAGGCAATTAGTCATAAATGCTTTTGGACAATAAAAAATAAAAAATTCTCAAGGCAATCATTTTGGAAATTTAGACTACTTGAGTGATAAGGAATTATGAAAGATCTACTTCTACCTTGTAGATAAACTAATTGTTACTCTAGGTAAATTGGAAATAGCAATGGTATATTTCCAATATTGTTTCAATATTTACGAAAGCAATCTTTCAACCTTATTGTGATTCTAGATGATACTTCATGCTTTGTAATAGGAATTAAGATATTTATGAAAGGTTAGGTGTTACAATGCAGGTGTAGCTCTCAGTCGTCAGTGGACGTAGAGGTGTCCGTCCACACCGGTTAATCGAAGTGCATAAGTAGGAGTCCCAACTAGCCAAAGCAACATATCATTGTTTTAAGAGAGTTACTAATGGAGAGATTCCTATATAGAAATATCACAGTAGTTTGTTTAAGAACGAAGCATGGTTTGAGGTTGTTAATGCATTAAATTTAGGTTTGGGAACTACCCAAACGCACACAGTCGTTATGACCACATTTAAGGACATGAAATACAATTTCCAAATCTGATATCAATTGTCAAATCGTAGTGGCTAGGGATGGGATTAAAATTTTTCCCTTGTAGCAAGTGATGATGCATGGGATAATATCATACAGGTACAATATTTGATGATGTCAAGGCTAGCTATTTTATGTTTTCTTTATTTTCCACTTGTGTTTCTTGCTCTTTTTCTCCTATGGCTGTTTGTTTCATGCTGTTAGCCCCTCCCTGCTGTTAGCTCCTCGGTTTCATGTTGGCCCTTTAGTTTTTCCTGTTGTCCACTCAATTTCTCTGTTGTCCACTCATTTTTCCTGCTACTGTTTGGTCTTCCCATGGTGGCATTTGATTTCCCCATGTCGTTGCTCGGTTTTCCAACTATTTTCCTGGTTTCCCTACTGCTGGATGCTCGGTTTCCCTCTTGCTAGCTACTCGGTTTCTTTCCCTTGTTGATCCCGGTGCTGTTTTCTTTGACTTCTCCATGAATAGGCTGATTTGGAGGGGTTTTAGTGGCTGTTTTGGTGACACATTTATGCGGGATAATAAATGTCCTCCTCTCTTTTTTCTCCTATAATTAGTGGCTGATTTTCATTGTAAAAGAGAGTGATATTTGATGAATATTTGGAACGTGAAACATGTGGGTTTATCATAGCTTGCGAGCTATCATCTTCTACATTCCTTCTTATATTTTGTCTCGAACTTCTATCTATTCTTCTCTCCACGGCATTCCACATGTATCTTTCTTCTCTAAAACTATTATAAGTTTTAAATTGTGTTGTGTCTTGTTGTATTACAAGTTGTAAGTGGTGTTAATACTGCTTTATTATTGTGTTTCTTTGTATTATTTAAGGTTTATGTGAATGAGAAAAGGAAGTGTGTTTTTATTTATATTCCTAGAGCAAAGTTTGTTCTTAGGTTGCATCAATTTGGTATCAGAGCTTTAGGTTGTCATGTGAGTCTTCATTTCTCTTTAAAAAAGAAAATGAAAGTCAAACAGTTAACAAGTCGAAGTTCCAATTTAAGAGAAAGATCTATCATCAAAAAGAACACATTCAGAATATTAGGGAAGCACAATCATTCAACCTGACGAACCAAACCAAGTAATCCGTAACTTTTCATCAACAGATTGTCTGTAGAGTTGCAACATCATCATCCAGCATGTTGCTGAGGCAATCTCATCAGGAGATGACATTCTTCTACCATGGGCGAATTGATGCAGTCAAGACTAGCTATTTTATGTTTTTTCTTTTTAATTTTTCACTTGTGTTTCTTGCTCTCTTTGTCCTGTGGTTGTTCGTTCCCTGCTGTTAGCTCCTCCCTGTTGTCATGTTGTCCCTTTGGGTTTTCCTACTTTTTCACTTTTTTTTTCTTGCTGTCCACTCAATTTTTCTGCTGTCCACTCGATTTCCCTGCTACTATTTGGTCTTCCCATGGTGGTTATTTGGTTTCCCCATGTGGATGCTTGGTTTTCCATTTGTTTTCTTGGTTTCCCTGTTGCTAGATGCTCGGTTTCCCTGCTATTTTCTTGGTTTCCCTGCTGTTGGCTTCTCTGTTTCTTCCTCTTGCTGATCGCTGTGCTATTTGCTTTGACTTCTCCATGAATAGGCTGATTTGGAGGGGTTTTAGTGGCTGTTTTTGTTGCACATTTATGTAGGATAATAAATGCCCTCCCCCTTTCTTTCTCCTATAAATAGTATATGATTTCCTTTGTAAAAGAGAGAGTTATATGTGTTGAATATTTGGAATGTGAAACCTGTGGATTTGTCATAGCTTGCGAGCTATCATCTTCTATATTTCTTCTTATATTTCGTCTCAGATTTCTATCTATTATTCTCTCCACGGTTCTCATTCCACCTTTATCTTTCTTCTCAAAAAATATTGTAAGTTTTAAGTTGTGTCATGTTTTGTTTTATTATATGTTGTAAGTGGTGTTAGTACTGCTTTATTGTTGTGTTTGTTTGTGTTATTTAAGATTTATGTGAATGAAAAAGGAAGTGCGTTTTTATTTGCATTTCTAGAGCAAAGTTTGTTCTTAGGTTTCATTAATATTTTAGTTTAAAATTTCTACCAGTTGTTAATAGAGTTTTAGTTAGTGGACCATATGATTCAATTGCTTAGAATCCAAACAATCTTCTTAATGCTAAGTCGTTCTTCCAAAGCTATTTACAAAGAAGATAATCATATCCAATCTGTTTTGCGGTATCAAACTTCAAAGTTTACACTCAACCAAACAAGAAAAGCAATTCTAATACATTTACTTTACATCCATTGAAACAATTCAATGTAAATTAATTACACCATTTACTTTTCTATGCACTCTTAAAATGCATGCAATCACATAGTGCCTTTATGAACATTTATATCATTATTGCTTGATGAAATAGTTGTTTTAGTAATTTTTATCTAAAGTCATTGTGTTCATTAGTACTTATTTTATACCAACTTAACCTTTGTTTGTATTTTCTTTGTGTGCACATCACTGCATTTGGAAAACTTTAAACATTTGTAGGAAGGTGACTTTCCCACCTAATTGCTTATTTATTGACTTTTCCGGCTGTTTAGGAGCAGCCGAGAAAGCTGCTGCAGGTGATAGATTCTGAAAGGAGAAACTATGCCAGAACCAGACATTTTGATTTTTTATTCCAGTGTAATGGTGCTTCAACAACTTTATAAAATGGATATTCTTCTCTCCAGGAATCTCTGCAAGTGAATTTGGAGAATGGGCTCATTGAGAGGGAGATTTTTCAATTGTTTAAGGAGCTCTTTAATGCAGCACAGGTCTCCAATTGGTATAACTCTTTAATTTTAGACATATACAATCTATCTTATTTTATTTTATTATTATTATTAATTAATTAGCCTTTCTTTTTTTTATTTTCATTCTAGACCTTCAAGCCGGGTCTAGAGTGTGCCTTTCCACGACAACATTTGATGCGTTTGCGAAGAATGAAATAGAGGATGATGATTTTTTATATGACCAGAAGGAGATAGAACCCCAAGGTGTCGACCCCAGAAAAGGCTGGGGTTTTCGAGGCGTTCATAAGGTCTTAATTTTCTTATTTGTAAATGAAATTTAATTTGTGATGTTCTATAAACACTTGAAGACTTCCTTTCTTTTGATTTGCCTGTAGGCTATTATTTGTGGCAAAATTGGGCAGGCTCCTGTACAAAAAATATTGAGGAATGGGAAAACTATTACCATATTCACTGTAGGGACGGGGGGTATGTTTGACCAAAGGATTGTTGGAAATGAAAATTTACCAAGACCAGCTCAATGGCATCGAATCACTGTACACAATGAAACCCTGGGGGCATATTCTGTTCAACAGCTAGCAAAGAAGTATGTATAGGATTTCTAAGTTCTTTTTGTCAATTTTACTAGGATAAAGAGATATTTGATGGGTAAGTAATCTGGCATCTTGTTTTGCTCTCCGTTATTTGATAACAAAATGTTATTTATACTTCTATCTGCAGCTCTGCTGTTTTTGTTGAGGGTGACATTGAAACTAGGGTTTATAATGACAGCATTACAGGTCAAGTTAAAAATGTGCCGGAAATTTGTGTTCGCCGTGATGGTATGCCGCTACTAATTTGATATTTTTATGAACATTTCGATGCTTAAAAACCTTGTGCTTCTTATTTTTCTGATGATGTTTTATTTCAAGTAGTACTGACAAGTGCAAAATGATTTATTTCAATCAATTTTCTCAAAATATTATAAATGACCTTTCTTTATTAGATCTAAATGAGAATTTGACTCTTAACTGGACAAAATGAAGAAAAAGGATTCATGTAGCCGACCTCTCGTAGTGCGATAAAGGCTTCTTGTTGTTGTAATTTTCTTAAAGTATTAATATTAATTCAGAGAACATTAGTGAAATAAGTGTTCAATTAATTAATAGGATAATATTGGGTCCTGCATGATTATCTATTTCATAGCTGCCTTACTGATCTGCATAGGATGATCTCTTTTGCAACAATGAGAGATCTGGCCTAGCAATCAAATTCCTAATAAGAAGTGACCTCAACCAAGTCAGTTTAGTTTAGTGTATTCTTCTTTGCCCTTTTTACCTTTTAGTTGTAGTTAAGCTTAGTCATTTTAACTAATTCTATGCATGTTAGTTAACCAAGCTGTTTTTCTTCCTAGCCTTTTCACATCGACTCTATCACCATTATTTATTCTTATAATCTCAGTAGTACCCATAGAATTTAATCTAATGCAAATAACTAGATAAAAGATGCCAAATGAAAAAATTATAAGTAAATTGCAGGACTTATAATTTTCTCCTTCTGTAGGTATGAATTTTTTAGGGATATGATCAATTTGGAGGAAGAAGGTGGAAATGGAGTTGGTCTTCATCTTCATGCCATATTTACAAAACTGATACTAGAAGTAATGCAAAATATGGTTCTTAACTCATCACCTTCTGAGTATTATGGTGGTCATTAATGCGCATTTCGTATACCTGAAAGGGCAGATATATAGACAGTTCAGTGGAGGGATCTTAAGATCTGTGTGAAATGGCTCAAATCCACTTTTGGTCGGCTTTTATAAAGATAACTGAGCAAAATTAAGATATCCACTTTTGTTTGTTTTCAAACTATCGTACAGAAATTGCTAGAATGGATTGTGTAGTGTTGAAACTTGTTCAATATGAATTAGGTTGTTAGACCTAAGCTTATATCCCAGTGACTAACCAAGAGGGGGGGGTGAATTGGTAATTTAAAAATTATCCCTCATTTGAAATTTAAACCTATAATAATTTTAGTGAATTTTTGTAGAAAAATTTTTTTCAACCACAAATTAAACAATACAGTAAAGTAAAAACAAAAGCAGCGGAAAATAAAAAGACACAGGATTTATAGTGGTTCGGTCAAACACGACATACATCAACTCCCCGGAGGCACTCTCCGAGTATTGCACTAATACCACTAGTGACTCTCCTTTTGCACCCACAGCAAGGCGGAAAAGCCTTTACAAAAACTCTCTTCCACCACTACCCGGTGCGGAAGAGAATCGTCGTCCTTTTACACTCTCCAAGTGTTGGCAGAGAACCCTTCGTCCTTTCACACTCTCCAAGTGTAGGCAGAGAACCCTTCGGCTGTTCACACTCTCCAACTGTAGGCAGAGAACCCTTCGATTGTTCACACTCCACGAGTGTCGGCAGAGAACCGGATCTCCTTGACAAATCTTTTCACGAGAAATCTAGAAGGACAAGAGAAAAGAGTGAAGTAATCACAAATCACAATTGGAGATTCTTACCTTTGAGTACCAAGTGAATTCTTCACGCTCAAGTAGTAAGAATCATCCTTCAAACACTTTCTCATACTCTCTCCTTCACTCTCCCTTCAGTTTACACGAAGACCAGTAAGCAAAAGGATTACAAGGCAGTTTACAAAGGACCTTTTATGTAAAAGACACGAAAAACCGTTCAAAAACTGCGAATTTTCAATTTTGTACGTACATGATCATCCCCGTACGATCGTGATTTCGTACGTACGAACAGTGTAAAATTGTTACGTACGAACTCTTATGTGCATTGGGACGAGGTGACTTCGTATCCGATCATCGTCCCGTACAAACTTAGTTCGTCCGGTACGAACAATTATTTTAAAGCCAAGCTGAAACATAATTGCAGACGATCCATATGTTTAAAGAATAGAGAACATCGTCCTAGGACGAATGTTCTTGACGAACAGTACAAACCTTGAAACCCGAGAAGATCATCCTGGGACGAATTGTGTGTTTCGTCTGGACGAACCGTTCAAAATGAGAATCCCGATGACATCGTCCATGGACGAATTTGGTATTTCTTCTGGACGATCCATACAGAGTAAGGATCCAGAGGAGATCGTCCTGGGACGAATTGGGTATTTCGTCCAGACGATCCGTTTAGAGTGAGGATCCCGAGGACATCGTCCAGAGACGAATTGGGTATTTCGTCTGGACGATTAGTTCAAGTTATGAATCCAGAGAAGATCGTCCTGGAACGAATGGACCATTTCGTCTGGATAAACAGTTCAAAGTGAGAAATCAGAGGACATCATCCAGGGACAAATTTGGCATTTCGTCTGGACGATCAGGACATAGAAAAATTTCTTCGCTTTGCTGTTCGTTCCATATATCTCCGAGGGGTATAACTGACTTGATCGTCCCGTACGAACAATGTTCGTCCCATACGATCAGTAAAAAAAATTAGTCCTTTTAAAGATCTCTCCTTCAGTGTGTGTGCGCTAGATTGCTCAATTTCAATTATACTCTTTCTGACTCAATAAAGTGAAAAAATACAGACTTCAAGTTACAAAATATGATATGCTGAATTTGATTTGAAGTCTTCAGTAGTCTGGAGTACGATTATCCTGAAATGTTAGTCCACACAAGAGCAAACACAATTTTTCTAAAAAGTGTTAGGAGAAAATAATAATTGGAATAATAATATTTGGAATCATCAAAACTATACAAGTTGCAAGAATGTAAAACATGCAAATAACAACTCTCTTAACATGCAGTTCATGGTTTTGACTAGAAATATGTAGGCTACATGGATGTGTTATAACTGGCAGTTTTTATCCCCAGATGTTGTGATCATCTGGTTTGGCTAAAGCAATAAAATGCTTCTCTGAAGAACTTAAAATTGCATTTAAAAAGTTATATAATTCCTTTAGTATTTGAAGATCAACAACTACTATCGTCATTAGTCTAATTCAATAATTTGGGGTCTGTCATCGCAAAATAGCTCCAGATGATGTATTTTTTAATTTCATTGAACATGTAAATGAAGGAAACTTACATTTTTCATGAATTTAAATCAATGCTCATTTGATTGAAAATGAGCATAAATGGGTAGAGTTGAAAGATGCAGAGTATATGAGTTTTTACATGGATTGCTATTTTATGTTTTTAATTTTTGTCAATTGTCATATTTTTATGCCTTAATAATCTTCTAGGAAATACTAGGCTGTTCATTGTTTGCCTTCTTTTTATGCTTGAGGATTTATCAACAATAATGATAACAACAGGTTTTTATCCCACTACATGGAGTCAACTACATGAATCTTTTTTTTTATTGTGTCTTATTAATAGTCTAATAGGAAATATTTGAGTTCACAAGTAATTCTAAGGGAAATACTTGAGTTCGCAAGCAAACCTAACAGAAATTGGTGAAAACAACGAGAGATCTTGCCAATTTCAGAGAGAAATCAGCTTGACGAAGCAGAATTTGAGAAAAAACTGGAAATAAACACAAGAAAACTTCTTCTATTCAATCCACGAACAAGAAAAACAGGGCACGATACAAGTTTCTTTTATTCGAGAGGAAGAGACGACTCTCCAAATCTCTAGCAACGCCCAGAGCCCCAAAAGAACAAGCCCTAGATCTCCAATCTCTCTTCCAATTTTCCAATGAAAACCCTAATCCCCCCCCCCAAAAAAAAAAAAACTAATTAAAACAAAGAGGACACTAATTCAAATTTTTCCTCCCAAAGAAAGTTGAATTAAGTCTTGGGCCCCATCTCTTCAATCCGCCTCTCTCTCTATTCCCCTTGGTTCCGCCCCCTCTTGTAGCAAAGAACCGGTCCAGGTTGGACCGGTTCAGCTAGCCCTAGGGTCGGCCTAACAGAATCATGACCCAACGCAGTGGTATAAAGACTTGATGTTGTTGTTGTCATCGTCTTATTAAGAGTCAAATTCTCAATGCATGAGAATGTAGATTGAATATTATTTGATAATTATCTTGCATGCTAGAAATGAATTTTCTGTCTTATTATGTGTTCAATTCTTGACACTTCATTTTTCTTTTGTTTGTGCTTGTGGCTTATTGTCATCCTCTTTGATGTTTAAATTTTCTTGCTGGCTTGATTTCTAGTCTTATCACTGGGCCTTTTTTTTGCATGGAACATTTTTTAGATCAAGATTGCCTGTATTCAGGAGATCATTAAATGCTTTAGTTATTTTTTTGTAAGATCTTTCTTTCTTTTTATGCACAATTTGATTTTGTTAGGATATCACCTTGTGATCAATCGTGGAAAGAAAAAAAGTAATCGGTGATTCACATGGAGCACATGGAGCATCTAATCCTGTTCTTACATATTTTTTTCAGGCAAGGTTCGTCTCATCAAATCTGGAGATAGTGCTTCTGAAATCAACTTGAACGACTTGAGTAAGTGAATGCTTCCATTTGCTTTTATTTCTCCTACAATAATGTTGCCCTTTGCTCCTGTTGCTATTCATTTCTGAATTTACCATTCCTGTAGGAAATGGAATATTTTGATTGCTGCGCAAGATGTTACATGCAATGATTAGTTTAGGCTTATTGTTAATCACCCTATTATCCTTTTTTTTCTAGCCATCTTTAAAGTTAACCGAACTATACTGAAGATGGATTTTGAGAAAGCTTTCATGTATTTAAATGAATTATCATTTGAATAATCACTTTTTATCAAGGATAAAAAAATCTTTTATGCATAATAGTACATAGAAAGAACTTGCAGCCATTGCTAGTGATAATGTTTGGTGCGTGTTATAAGATTATTCAACGGCATTAACGGCTAGTTTTTTTTTTTTTTTTTGCAAGTTTTTGGATCTCTTTTTAAAATGCTTCACATTATATATTTGTTTTGTAGGAATTTATTTATTGTGAAATCAGTTTATTTGTCTGAGTTTCATTTTTATCTATAGTTCACATTAATTTATTATTATTTAATTAATAGTGATAATTAACTTATCATCATATTAATTTAATATATAGAAAAATTAGAGGTGACTTCTAATGAATAATATAAAATGGCTTTTATATGTCGTATGTGAATGGTAGTTTTTGTTTCCCTGTTGAATTATATGAACAAATTGCTGAGGTAAAATTTTTATTATTATTATTATTGGTTAAGTAATCTAAATATCTTATATTATTGTCTTAAATCTAGTGAATAATGGATGAATTTAGCAAATTTTGCTAACATTGAATTTTAATTAGGTAAAAAGTCTTTTTTTTTTATATAGTTTTTTAGTATTTTAGAAATTTATAATACTTATCCTAATGTGATGAGTAGTTTGATTTTCTTAAATTATTTATTTGCATGAAATATAAGCTATATAACTATTTTCTTATATAAGCTTTATTTTTTTTCAAGTGCTTATTAGCAAGTTGATTAGTTAGATATTTTCTTATAAGACAAGGCATGACCAAAAGGGTAGAATAACACAATACATAACTACATAATATTGATTGTCCTTCTAATCAACACATAAAAGACAATAAAATAGTATACTAGCTTATCTTTTCACCTTATCAAAAACTTGTGTTCTCCATTTCCTTCATTGACACTTCACCTGATTTAATACTCTTCACTTCAAATAGATTGCCTTGAATAAAATAGTATAAATGCTTATTAGCAAGTTAATCACTTTTCCGTCGATTGCTATTCCTGATCTTTTCGGCAATTATTTCACGATAGAGAGAAACTTTATCCGTCATGTCGTATTATACATGCATCCACATCTGTGTAAGAGACATCTCGACGATATTTATCATGTAGTAGATTGATGATAGGATTCGATGATTCTACACTAATTTGGGAATGAATGGCTAATACCAAATCTCATATCATATATTGTTAATGATGATGATGGTGGCGATGGTTATTACAATGTTATCATATTACAATCATGTTAATTTTTTCTCGATGACAAAAGGGAAGAAGAGCCGATGTAGAAGCACCAAGCTTTACTCCGCCCACGAAATACAAAGGAGAGAGAGAGCTTTGTGGAGAAGTTATAAGTCACGTTAACATATAGGCATGAACGTAGGCTTTTTTCGAGTCGAATAGCATAAAATCTTATTCACTTTTATGCTCATTATGTTTGTATAGGCCTTTCTTTCCAAAGTTATTTTTTGATATAATGTTTTATAAAACAAGTGTTTTGTTCATTATCAAGAAAGTTTCAAATCATATAAAAATAATATTATTCTTTGTATTTTATCCTTTTAATTATAATAAAAACTTAAAAATTTTGAATTGTATACATTGTGATAACAATTTATCTTATTTTTAGTACTGGCAAATTGGATAGGTTTGTTTCCATGAAACTTTATATAGATGTTTGAATTTTTTAAAACTCTGATATGGGTATTATAATTTATTATGTAATTCTTGATGTTACTATCTTAATTAAATGTATTTTATATGCTAAGAGTTTTATTAGAACTGGTAATTATTTGTAGAGATAAAAATTTATTTGATAATTTTTTAAATTTTCATTTACTTAAAATCAAAGTAGATGTGCTCTGTCTTAAAAATAAATTTAGGCACATTTGGGATAATTTTTTTATTGTTTTTTAAAGCAATTTTATAGTATAAAAATTTTTAATTCAAAATTAGTATTTATTAAATTTACTAAATTAATATTTTACGCTCAATTAAATCCAAAATTAATAATTATTAAATTTTAAGTGCGACGGGCTTGAATTTAACTCAAAATGGACCTTAATTCATATTTAAATAATAGATTAAACTATTACACATTTATAAAGTTTAAAATTTATTATATTTTTTCAATAAGAAAGAAGTTGCTGGAATTTTGCAAAAAAAAAAAAATAATTCTTTTGCTTAAATAAAAAAGGTAAAATTAATTTTTTTGTAAAATTTTGACTTGTTCGGGACATAACTTTATTAGTATAAAATATAAATTTTGATAACTTTTTTGTAGCAGTTTTTTTTTTTTTTTTTCGATTTCGAACTTATTTTCTCCATAATAAAATTTAAATTGTTTTTCCTTTTCATATTGTCCATTTCCTTCCCACCAAACTTATAATTTAAATTTTTAAAACTGATTAATTATAAAATTTGAAGTATTTGATTAAAAATAAAAAGATTATATTTTATGTAAAAAAAATTATTAAACAGGTTAAAGTGGGTTTATGGGCCAATTTAAACTCATATAATAAATGAGTCAAAAATTTCAACATAAATTAGACTTGTTTATTAAATGGGTCAATTCAAATTCGAATTATTTTAATCGGGCTATTTATTAACTTATGGATTTTATTTAATTAATCAATTATATAATTGAGTAAGAACATTGCTCTGAATTGTTTTCAATTCACCATTTATTAATCAATTGCAAAAGCTGTTGTAGAAAGCAATAAGAAAGCTATCCTAAAGTTTCATTTGAAATGTAATTTCATTTCCATTGTGTTTTCACTGTTCTTTCTTTTGTTTTTTATATGATCTCATCTTATCTAATTTTTTACTCTTGCTCTTATATAAAACACCAAAAAAGCGCATTTTTTAAAATTTTAATCTCTAATATTAATCAATACTAAGAGCTAGTCATATATAAAAATTTTATTTTGAACAAATGGTGAAATATCCTTTTCAAAAATCATAAAAATTATTCCAACTTGTCCAACATTAAATTGGGATTAGAATAAGCATTTTAAAAAAAATCCCTTATTCTCATACCTAACATTATCTAAGGTGAAAGCATTTTCATGTTGATACCTACATTATTCCCTAATTTCACCTACTATTTAGATGTATTATGAGAACTAGAAAATAATCATCAATTAGAAGTACTTATATCATGATAAGTGGATATAAAATTTTACATATTAAAAAATTTGACATTCTTAATTGGAGTCTCTACTCCCTTTTATTGATATAATTACCATCAAATCTCAACCTTTACTTAAGGCTTCGTTTGGGATGTCTTTCTTACTACTTCTTAAAACAATTTTTTAGTATAAAAATTTTAATTTTTGTATGTACTAGAAAGCTGTTTTAAGAAGCAGTAAGAAAGTCGTCCCAAACAAAGTCTAACTTCCATGGTAGTGTCCACCATGATTAGACATAAATATATGAATGTAATGTATTGTTTCCTAGTTAGCATTATATGGGATGAACTTTATATAGATTCATTTGGACACCTTTTCTTGGCTCATTATGGCCTTGCCCTTTGATATCCTATAATACTTCGCATGTTTGTTGTTTTTAGTGATTCCCTACGGTAAGAAACCAATTGCAATAATGTTGTATCCTTTAACATGTTGTATGATTATCTTGTAAGCACAAGTTTGATATTCAAAAGTAACGTCAATAGAAAAAAAGTTGTGATCATGTCAATCTGACACCAATTAGCTCGAATAAGATTATAGACGATGAATATCTTGTCCAAAAAGGGTTTACTTGGGTCATATTACTCCTCATAAGGGTTAGGATTTCATTAAGTAGGGCTTAAATTCAAATTTTAAGACCAAATTGATCAAAGATTATTAGACTAAGTTTTAGACTAATTAGTATCATACTTGGCATGATATCCTTTCTATGAACATCATCCTAGTCCTTTTAGGGAGCTAGGTTCACCTACTAAGGAGAGTTCGTAAGTGTTTACCAGGGGGAGCTAAGTTGCTAGCTAGGATGACTAGGGCAAGATTAGGGCTCTATATTTTGGGCTTGATTTGTAAGAATAATTTTGACTAAGAGTACTTGGAGGCTAGGAGTTGTCAACATATGCTTCTTCAGTTCTTCTAATTTTGAAAATTGTCACATCTTTGGATTTGAATTACAGAACATAAGGCTTCCTGACTCTTGAATTATGACTTCTAAGATATAGATTATATCCAATGCGTAGCAAAAGAGAGAGATATATATGAAAAAAAGAGAAAATTAATGATATGATAAAATATTTACAAGATATTACAATAACAAAATCACTCTTCATTTTCTCTTATCTCTCTCTTCTCCTCCTTGCCTCCATCTTAAAACTCTACTAGTTAATTTTGATCACTTACAGTATGAGTAAAAATGAACTATAAAGAGAAAGAAATGGTTGAGCAAATTTTGAACTCAATAGTTTGTGGGGAAAGCAAAGAAATTAAAATACTTAAAATTTGTGTTCGTCTATCAAAATATTCTCACTACCATATGCATAGTTTTGATTAAAAAAAAATAAAAATTGCATAGTTTTGATCTATTATCATATCTCTCTCTTGACCCTATATTATTTGAACGTCAACTAATTATATCATTATCATATAATTGCGCTTCTATCCTAACTTACCTTTAATTGCGCTTTTATCCTAACTTACCTTTTAATTAAAAAAAAAAAAACTTGTTTGTGAATGTATATATATATTTTAATAAAATAGTTCATAATTTTATATTTTTATTTATATAGATTTTTTTATTTATATAGATATTACAACACAAGTCAAAATAGTTTATTTTATTTTCTATTATTAAAACAAAAAATATTATTCTATCCAAAAAAAATTGGTAAATTTGTTTAGGTAATAAAAATATTTTCAATTACAAATTAATAATAATCTGTCAAAATTTACTGACCAATTATAAAAGTAAATTTTAAATAATATTTTAAAACTTTTTTAAAAGTATACGAACTATTCACAATTTAACTATGCGACTTGGTCTGATCGTTTAACTTGATTGGGCGGAATGTCTTATGGTTATGGAGCAAAAGTATTGGTTTTGGTAAAAAAAAAATTATCCATGACACCCTATGAATTGATAAATTTACATAACAGTACATGTTCTGAGAATTTGGGATAAAAATTTTCTACCATTGATGAAATCGGCAAGCTTACACTGTTAGGGTTAGACAAATGGTAAATTACTCGTACAGAGACAGCCCGCAATAATAAAATTGAAAAGGAAGGAAATTGCAAATCTGCTTCGTCAGTTCTGCTTAGCTCGCTATCATCGTCCTGCTCGCCTGGGCTCAATCTCGAGAGAAACCCAGCGACTTCCACTTTAAATTGGCCCTGCTATCGGTGGAACAGCCACTCCTTTGGCCGAGAGAGTGAACGAAGACGAGAAGAGAGAGAGAGAGAGGATGCTTCGAACTATCCACCCAGTGGAACCGGAGTAAAAAACAGTTTTTTTATGAGTTTTTTATCTGGATTCTCTTCTTTTTTGGGGTAAATTTTTGTTTTAAGTGGTTTGGTTGAGTGTGCTGTGTTTGCTTTACGTAATTGGAACTAAGTTAATGATATGTGTTATGACGAGCAGAGGATTGATTTGAACGATTAAAAAAATCTAATTTTTTTGCTATTTTATATGGATTTTAATGGATTAGTCAAGATCTGGATAATACCGGAGGGAGAACGTTGAGCCTCGATAACAGTGAAATTCGGATGCTGTGCTTTTTTCCTCGGTAAAAATCAAATCTTGTTTTTATAAATAATTTTGCAGAGATTTGAAGTGTTTAACAAGACTAGAAAGGTCAAAGCTTTTTAGCTAGTGTTATCGGTGGTTTATTTAGTGCGGAACAGCACAGGGTTACGCCCATAGAACTATACAAGCCTGTGAGAAACCTTTTGGGTTTTGTTTATTCATGATTATGTTTGCGTGAGGATAATTATCACAGTGAGAGAAGTTCTAGAAACATGCCACATGAGAACCAAGTTTTTAGTTTTTTAATTTATCCTCTTTCTTTTCTTCTTGCTTTTTGCTTCTTTATCCATTGGAGAATTTTTCTGTTTCAGAAGGAATAAAAGAAAGAAAGGAAAGAGATTGTTCTATCGCCTCCTCTTTTCCTTCATTTAAACCTGTTGTTCTCCTCTGAAAGTTGAGGTTTTTTTTTTCTTGCCGTTCGAAATGAACTATTGAGTAGAAGAAGAGTATTATGCTGAAGAAGAGATCAAAAACAGTGAGCAGTAAGCAAGGTGTTGTGTCCCACAACATTTCACTTACTCCGCTCATTGGAAATCTCACACAGAGACCCCCTTCTTGTTTTCTGTTTCCATCCATTAATCCCTTTTCGAGCTTATCTCCTACGGTCTTCTCAGATTCTCAGGCTGCTGTTACTAGGCCAAATTTCAGTTTAGACTTCAAGCCCTTCTTTTCAATTGGGGATCACTTATTCTCAAATAGAAAACCAAAGACCTGTTGCTTAAAAAATGGCTCAACGGTCAAATACTACCCATGGGGTGGCACAGACTCCAGGCCTGTCGGGCTTGCCATTCTTGAAGCTATTTGCAGTGAGAAAGCTGATGAAAAATTAGTATTGTTTGGGTCTCAGCTCAAGGTTCAGGTCCTCTCTATCAACCAAAATTCTTCTTCTAGAACTCTGTTGGTGGAATCTCCTCACTCCCCAATCGAATTTGGCGTAAAAAATAAGAACTCGCAATTAGCTATGGCTCTTCTTTCTCCTGGGAGAAGATCCCCTCTGGCTTCTACCATTCCAAGCATGGACAATTCTCCACGAGGTTTGCACCTTTCTGCCAGCGAGATTGAACTATCAGAAGACTATACTTGTGTGATCTCTCATGGACCACAGCAGAAGACGACTCATATTTTTGATAATTTTATCATAGAGAGCTGCAGCAACAGACTCAGCTCTTTGAGGGAGATGAAGTTGTCTGCTTGTAAATTAGGCGATTCTACTTCTGATTATTTCTTGACTTTCTGCCATACCTGCCAGAATAAAATTGCACAAGGAAATGAAATTTTCATATACAGGTAAAACTCTGAAGCCCTTACATGTTTTCAGTATGTTTAATAGCTCAGTCTTTGCTTGATATTTTTGAATTCAAATGCAACCAAGCATAGTTTTTCTTCATTCTATTTCATTGTGTTAACCTGCCTTCAAATTGAGATTGTTTACCTTGTTGAGCTTATGATGGTACCTCTCTATTTTCATTTGCATTCACAATTATAAGCAAACAACATTGTCCATTTCTGGGGTTCATAATGGTTCCTTTTAGATGTTTAGCTTAGGAACCGGCCAATTCATGGGCAATCCTTCCTTTTTCAAATATATAATAGCAGTACTGATGCATGATATTTTGAAATATGTTAGGATTGAAGGTAAGCTGCCTACTTTTTGTCACGGGCTGTTTGGTAGCAGGATTTAGGCCAGATTTGGGGCAGATTTGAGCAAAATCCAGCCAAACGGCCTAAAATGCAAAGCCAAATCGTACGGGAAATGAATGATGCGGTTGACGGAAAATTTCACCTTCTCGTGGTAAATCCTGAATTTATGAAATTCTCTTGTTTGGCGGATTTAAATGAAAGCCGCGTTGTTCGCATCATCTCTTCACCCTCACCTCTTTAGAATAGCCAAACAGTCACACCGTATTTAACAGGATTTACCATGAATGTTATCAAACAATTTTCTGGATTTAACCCCCCACCCCAAGGATTTCCGGAATTCAGATTTAGAGGATTTATGAAATCCTACTTAAATGAAATCCTGGGTGCTACCAAACAGCCCCTCAGTATGTTTCTCCGATTATGCAACTAGCTCTTCACATATGGGTACAATTTTGATATTTTACCATATGTTTTTTCTTTGACTTCTCATATCATTTGCATTGGAGTGTCAACCTATTAGTTGAAATTGTTCTTTTTGCAGAGGAGATAAGGCATTTTGTAGCCAAGAGTGTCGAAATCGAGAGATTATTTGCCAGGAAAGAAGAGAGAATTCAGGATCATGTGCCTAGATAACTTTCTATGCAACGATGATCAATCAGAGATGATGGAGGCAGTCTTCAATTGACTTGTTTATATGTGTGGTTTCCCACCATTTCGCCATCGTTTCTTGTTTGGATTTTTTTTTTTTTTGGCTTCTAATGGAAGCTGCTTTGAGCTTTGTATTATAGCTAGTATGGTGCCTTCAGCTTGATTTTGGATCAGTTTTTAGCTGAAGGGAGATAATGGATGTACCTTTCTTTTAAATGCTATCTGTTTAACCTCTCTTGAAATAATGAAGCATTGATTTCTGTTTTAACTTTTAAGTCTTTAGGCTTCGTTTGGGACGGCTTTCTTCCTGCTTCTTAAAACAAAATTTTAATATAAAATTTAAAATTGATATACTAAAAAGCTGTTTTAACAAGCAGTAAGAAAGCTGTCTCAAACGAAATATGAATCTTTTATCTTCTGATGCTGTTACTAAGTATGGGCTGTGTGATAGTTATCTTGAAACTGAATGCATGCGGTTGCTCAGAAAGAAGTTATAAATGATAAAATTTGTTAAGATAACTTTTGATTGGATGAACTATAAATCAAATTGGATTATTACCTTTGTCAATACTCAAACACCAAAAGAAGATTTCTCTACAATGATGAAAGATATAATCTCATACTCTCTCTCTCTCTCTCTCTCTCTCTCTCTCTCTCTCTCTCTCTCTTTAAAGTAGCTCTTCCTCTCTTTGTGCTAGATGAACTTTGCATAATGGAAATTTAGAAAGCAAATATACCAAAAAAACATATGAGGACATATACTAGATGACCATAAACCCTAATGGAGTTCAAAAAGTAAATAAATATTTTTAATGTAAATATTATTCTACTACAAACTATAAGAAAAAGTCATGAAAATTAGATTTTGCTTGTCCTAAAGATCTACCACTATTTATCATATTTGAATCAATTAGAGTTTATTTTATTTTGACATACAAGTTTTCCATAAAAGCATGTCTCTTATAGTTTATTATATCCCAAGCGATTTCTCTTGAAAAAACTCTTAATTAAAATAGTGATAAATATTTTTATGATTTAGAGTTTATAGAAGGATATGTTCTTAGAATTTCAAATAGAATTGGTTTAACTTCGGAACAATAAGCCAAAAGTAGAAGAGTCTTGGATACTGAGAAATTTAAAAGTACTCAAAATTTTCATTAATTAGGCTTTAATATTTTGAAATTAAATTTAAATTTAAGTTGAACAATTTATTTAAAAATTTTGTGTTTATATTTCATCAACATAAAATTGGAAAAAGGTCCAAGAAAGATGACCTATGGTGGGGTTGTAATCAAACCTAACTCTAATATATGCATGAGGCATAACTTTAAATCTCATCAATAGCTATATATGCTTGACACATTGGCCTTATACTCATGCTTAAAAATATCAACTTGTTAAACCCATTTAAGTGCTTTTAAAAATATGAAGCCATTCTCTATGCAAAAGTAAGATAAGTTAGGCTATTTTCCATTTAGGAATTGAGCTTACAATATAAACATTAATGGCAAGAAGCTCTATCATGTGGGAATGATGTGCTTATGAGAAAATGATCAAAATGGGTCCATTGAATCTTTATGAAAGATCAAAATAGTCCCCAGCAATATTAAATGACCATTTTGATCTCTCAATTTCTTAAAGAGGAATCAAAATAGTCATGAAACTATTTTAGTTCCTCTTTAAAGAGTTGAGGGACTAAAATAATCCTTTAATATATTTGGTAATCATTTTAGTCATTCATAAAACTTCAAGAGACTATTTTTGTCATTTTCTCAAATGTGTATTACCTAATATAAGATTTTTTTAATTATCTATACTTCAATGAGGAATAGGCAATTTTTTGAAGTATATGACTCGGAAGGCTATACATTTTTATTTATCAGCTAAGAAAATGAGTTTGATGCATATTCAGATTAAGCACAGTCTTATGAACAAAATAATTAATAAAATGTTAATTATGATGCCCCAAGACCTAAATTTAGAAGAATTGTCTATTTTATCTCTTAATCGATCTATTAGAGCTTCTAATAATTTATTAATATAAATAAGTTATGTGGAAGCAACTATTAATCATATACATCAAAATATTTATATATTCATTCATTCAAAATTCGATTTACAATAGCTAGGAGATTAATCAATTCATTGGTACTTCTAACAATAAATGAATAAAATCAAAATGCCAAAAATAAAACAAAGCATAAATCATGATCTACCTCACTCTAGTGGATCCTAACCCCTTCTTGAAAACATATAAAATAATAGAGTTAGCTAACAGCTGAGTAGGTTATCAAAACCTACAACTCAAATCAATGCAAAGTAATAAAAACAATATACATGTGACCATTCAATCCAAATCAATACAAACATGTAAATATAAGATCATATAGCAGTCAATATAAGTTGTATTATTTAGGGGGTGTCAAAATAGGTTTTTGGGTCTGGGTCGGGGTCGGGTTTGAGTTAGACCCGAAAATGACTTGTCATCATTTGACCTGACTTGAACCCGACCCTCTTAGGAAAATATGTCATAGACCTAGACCCAAATCTGACCCAGTTCAAACTTGAGTTGACCTGACACTGCCCACCAACCAATTATATATATATATATATCTTAAGATATTGTAAATCTCTTAAAGGTTTTATTTGCTATTTTTATCTAAATATCTATATGTATCTTAAGACAACTTTATTTTTGTTTTTTAAAGTAACTTCCTAGCAAAAAAATTATACTAAAAAACCGCTTTAAAAACAGCTATTACAAATAAACTTTAAATTGTCTATATTCTTAGATGTCAAATCAAATGATAGATGGAATGATAGATCAAAACATGTTTGGTGTATGTCAGCTCTTGTTCATAGCTGCTGCATGTGATAATCTTTTTCCTCAGCATAATGATAAAAAAATGGTTTGCGTGTGGCAAATGGCTCTTTAAATTCTTTTCATCCTTATTTTACAGTGAACAAGTATATCTTCTCCTAGCTTTGGGCTATTGTATTTTTGCTTTTTGTTGAACTTTGCAACTTTGTTATCTGGATTTGGAGCTTTATGAAGTACATAACTCTATATTCTTTAATAAAGCATGATGTGTTTCTGCATGGGCCAGCGAAAGGTGACAAAAATATTAGGCCAGACTGCCATTGTTGCGTCTGAAAGTCATGGAGGTTGTTGACAGCCCTTGTTTTAGTTTGATTTTTTTTTTGGTTCAAGAAAATAAACATGAAAGCTTAAATAACTATTTTTTATCAGCAAAATTTTATTAAAATGACAATATTTATTTAGTCCATGATCGCACACTGTAACAGAAGAAGCAGTTCATTTTTCATTGTCTTCAACGATCTTAGGGCATCTCCAACCGAAAAACCCAATTTTCACTCCAAAATATAATAAAACTTTCAAATGCATTCTTTCTTCTCCAATCGAACGTAATTTCTTCTTCTTTCGTACGCTTCCTGCGAAGGTAATCATCCATGGCACACTTTTCTCCTCTTTCGCATGCTTCTTCGTCAAATCCTACAGTGAATTTTTTTGGTATAGGTGACAGTCAGACGTCAATATTGACGTCACACTATAAACCTACCGGAATTTGGCGTGCGATTTGGAGTTCGAATGGAGCAAATGACGTATGACATACGGTGGTATGGAATTCGGTTGAAGATGATCTTACAGGTTCTTCATCCTTGATGAAACTTTTGACTTGAAAGGCATCATTAAAGTTCTTAAGAAAAAGTTAAATGTCATACTCTTCTTAATGGCTTGATTTTAATTTGTTTAATGGATAAGTTAGTAAAATTTAAGATTTTGTTTTAATTAAGTTCACTGAATGAGCTATTGAAGAAGATGAGAAGCTCAATTAAATTTGATTTTTTAAGAGTTCAACATACATGAATAAAAACAAAAATAACAAGTATTGATTTAGAATATACGAGTGATGAAAAAAATCATAGACAAGTATTCTCTAGAAGGATTGGGGGAGACTGAATGATTAAGGCTTCATTTGGTACGGTGCGGCTTTCTTACTGCTTCTTAAAGCAGTTTTTTAGTATAAAAATTTTAATTTTTAAACTACAAAGTAATTTTAAGAAGCAATAAATAAGCCGCCCCAAACAAAACCTAAGAATCAACAATCAATTAAGGGTTGTTGAGGTGGGCACTCTCCTTGAAGGAAAGTGATGGGGAGATCGGTATGAGATTTCAAGCTTGGTCGGAGTGGTGTTGGTAGGTTTAGAGTTGGTGGAAAGAAAAGGAAGGTAGTGATTAATCTAGGATTTTAAAATAGATTTCTAACTTAAATTGATAATTAAATTTTCTTTGAATGGAAAGAGTGAGGATCTTCATATCAGAGATATGTATGATGGCTTACTAATGGAGGTGATTTCAAGTCAATTAGATATATGAATAGAAAGTTATGAATTTTTTTATAGTATTGTAAAATATTCACTTACTAAATATTATGAATTTAATCATAGATTGTAAAATATTCACTTACTAAAATTGACCTGTTTGCAAAAACGGGTTGGGTTGACCCGAACCCGAATAGTGCCGGATTAGTTCTGGGTTCGACCCGTATCCGATCCGTGACCCGAAATTGACACCCCTAGGTGTAACGGTGGAAGATGCCCCAAAGCAAAGAAGATGTCGAGCTACAAGTTCAGAGACAGATACTTATGGGCCACCAACACCTGAGCTACATCCTAGCATATCATCTCTTAGAGGTCTACATCGAGCCGTACATCCTGAGAAAGTATCTATTGTTTCTAATTATTAATGATTGTAAATTCATAAAGTTTGTGTTATGTGCTATGTCCAACTATATATTCTCTTGCAGGACTCCATAGGCATAAAAAAGAAGCATAAATTGTAAAAAACAATAAATAATGGCTGAAAATATTTGATAATTTTTAGGTAAAAAAGAGATTAAAAAAGTGAATATTTTGGGACATATTTTTAGAAGGATCACCATATATATATATATATATATACATCATTAATTAAGATGAAGAAACGTAATTAAAAAATAATTAAAAAGGATCAAAATCGCAATTTTTTTTCTTTTAATTTAAAAATTAGAAAACATTTTTTAAAACAGTTCTTTGGTTCTCTGAAAACTTAAAATTATTTTGAACTTCAATCAAACAAAGTCACACTCCTTATGTTTCACAACATTACAATGAATTGAACTACAAGATTTCAAAACGGGGGGGCCGAGTTAGTTCTGAGTTCGACCCGTACCTGACCCGTGATTCGAAATTGACACCCCTAGGTGT